AAGACAACGACCCACATACTGTAGCACACCTCCTCCAGTCATGCTGATACTAATTTGACACATAGAAGGACAAACTCGCAGACACTCGCACACACCCACGCACACAGAGACACGCACACGCAGTGGATGAGTCATTGCTGGATCCTTAATTAGGACCATTTAAGCATGTTATGTGTGTCTCGCTTACACGCTCCTCTTTCCCTCCCTAATTCCTTCTGCTCCTTGTTACTTCCTCGTCTCCCAAGCTAGATAAATATAGAAAGTTGGTGGCCATGGAGTCTCATCGACCACCTCTCTCTCTTCTTCTTCTGCCTCTGCTTTTTCACACTTTTTCAGCGTAGTTTTCCTCCTGGGAGATAAGGTGTGGGCACTGGGTTAAAACTATATACGAGATACAGAGAGACAAGGGAGAGAAAGAGAGAGTAGGGGTTTGACAATTGTGTTATCTGATGCGTTGGAGTGTGTGAATGGTGCATGGATACAGTCATTACAAGAATAGGGGGCGGAAACACTGCATGTGTTGAGAGAGAATATTGACAGGGTATATTGTGTAGAGTGTGTATTTTCTGAAATCATGTATCCACAGATTATACTATATATTGATATGTCACTGTATAAATCAGTATATTTATTATTGTTGTTTATAGTGTTTATTTTGACTATTAGAAAGAGGTAAAAAAAATGTATTTAAAAGCATAATAATATAAGAATCTGGATGAAATTTAGATTTTGAAAAATACACTCCGCATCAATGGATTTTTCTCTATTTTAATTGCACAAGCACAATGACCAGCGCTTAGGTGCTTTGACTGCATGAGCAAGTGCAGCTGCTATTTTTGTTTATGTATGTGCAGCAGGGCAAAGTGGGTGAAGTTGAATATAAATTGAAGGGTGTGGTGATTGATAAGTGCAGACTGACTTACTGACGTTCCTGATGTAAACATGTTAAATGTTATTTTTTCATGCCAAGCATCTCCTGACTTGAGGGTGCTTAATTAAATTAGTTTATTTACATTTCAGGTATTATTGCTTTATTGCTCTGCATTTGTTCCAAGTATTTAGTTTGCTCTTGTTCACTGAAGTTGCAGTGGTTGAAGGTGAGAAACAGATGTGGTTATGAGACGTCTATTCCACTCATTTTCCGCCAAAATATCAACAACTCGCTTCGCTCTGCCTCATTTTAATGAACCTCCCACCTGTTTGTGCCTCTCCTCCCACCTGTGCACCCTGTGCTGGGAACCAAAATACCACACAGACGGGCAAAATGAATTTCAAGGTTAGGAAAATACCAAGCTGCTTGCATTAGTTGTGGTGCAGCCATTAAAATAGAGCCCATAATCACATAATCAGTAGCTCACTTTGCTTTTTTTTTCTATCCAGGGGCATTTCTAAACATTTAGATTCATGGAGAGGGACCATTCAAACATACAGCATATGTGGTAGCCAAGTGAACTCTATATTGCTTAGTGTACTCCGTTGCACCTTTACCTGCACCCAGCAGCGATGTCATACAGATGCCATCTGTAATACACATGTATATCACAGCAGCAAGGTAAGAGGACAGCAAAATAAAAAATGTCTTTAGGAAACATGAAGAAACAGCGATGGACATATTGAGAGAAATAGAGAGAATAAAACACAGATGTGTATTGACAGTCCACTGCACAACAGTGTTGTACTAGCAGAGTAAATACTTGATGAATTTGAGTAAGAAGGATTACAGCTTCACTAAATACTCAATAACAAATTAGCTCTCCAGCAGTGGGTTTACATTTCCGTCTAGAACAATAGATATTCTTCTGAAAGTGCCAACTCATGTAACCGCCTTGCATGTGTTTAAATACTTGGTGTTTTATTTGATATAAAGAGAAAGTTCAGACCACAAAATACGCCTCCAGAGATAAAATAATTCAAAGGACTCTCAGCTTTCTAACAATCACAGGTTTAAATTAAAAAAAAGTGTAAAATTGCAAGTTCAGTAGAAGCAGCAGTTGGCAGAGCATTAACACTGCTAAGTTTAGTGCTACAGTTCCCACTAAAGCCTCCAGGAACAGCACTGGAGTGTGCGGCCCCAGTCGAAAGTCAGAATAGAATTGTTTGATTTTCTGAATCCATGGTCAAAATGCCAAGGCATGGTTGCCTGCAACCGCCTGGGACGCTTCAGGTTTTACTGAGTGATCCGTGCTTGAACAGTTCACTGTGCTCATGGATACTGTACTTCCTAAGAAACAGACCCCAAAATGTCGGAATTTATAAACCACACCTCCTCAACTCTGATCCTGACACTCCTTAAATTGGAGCACCCCAGGGGTGCGTCCTCAGGCCCCTTCTCTACACCTTCTTTAAACGATTATTCCCCCATTCACCCCTCCAACACCACTGTCATATTTGCAGACGACACCACCTTAGTAGGATTGATAATAAACAACCTACAGGGAGGAGGCACAGAATCTGGCTGAGTGGTGTTCCCACAACAACCTGGACCTAAACACAACAAAAACCAAGGAAATGATAATAGACTTCAGAAGATCATAGAAAATTGAGCACACTGTCCGCTACATATGGAGGGAGGAGGTAGAGAGAGTGGAGAACTTTAATTTCCTGAGAGTCACGGCTGACCTCACATGGTCTGTAAACATCTCTTACCAGATGATTAGGGCCCAGAAGAAACTATACTTCTTAAGTAGTTAGTTTCTTAAGTCCCGCAGCATCTGCTGGTGAACTTTTACCGCGCCACCATCGAGAGCCTCCTCACCTACTGCTGCACAGGGTGGTCTGTATGGAGAAGACTGCAGCGGGTGGTAAAGGTGGCTCAGCGAATCATTTGGACCACATTCCCACCTCTGAAGGACATTTACAGTGACTGACTACAAAAGAAAGCCAGCTGTATCATAAAAGACCCATCCAACCCTGAACACTGTCTGCCGCCCCCCCCACTTAAAGAAGAACAAACAGCTTCTTTCCCAGAGCTGTTCCCTCAGTATATTGAACTGTGTCATTGTTTTGTGCACAATAACAATAAAGATCTATTTAATAACTTTCCATACATACATTATAAAACGAAAATAAAGTGTTTCCTGAGAGATTAATCATCGAATTAAAACAAAATATAACCATTAGGTTGAATAAAATTCAAAAGTAACAAGAACTGTATCACCATATCATTTTGTTGCCGTAGGAAACGGGAGAAACTTTTTCAGCATCTCTGCTGAGTTGACAGCTTTAATTAGAATGAATGGGCCGCCATGTTTGGCTTCCTCATCCACATTTAATGCATCCAAGTTCCCATAGGAATAAATACAGTAGTTAAGGTTGTTGTTAATGAGAAAAACTAAATGTGAAGGGGAGGTCAAAAGCCATCCTAAAATGTGCCCGCTGTTTTGGGGTAATCAAGCAAAAGAGAATATGATTTCCTTTGCAGCTTGTTTGTGTGTGTGTCTCTGTCTGTATCTGTGCGTGCGTGCCTGTGTGTGTGTGCATGCACAGGCAGAATTTTCTCCTACCAATTAACCATGACACAGCTGTGCTTTCCCTTCCTCATCTGCTCCTCGGTGGGTTTCAGTTGAACAATAATCTGCTTTAGATACTGCCGAGATGCCTCCAAAGCTCACTAGTCATCAATATCAATGCTTGATTCCGACGCAACTGTAAGCTCACACACGCAGGTGCAGGTAACAGCAATATAGACATCCAAAAGAAATCTAAGAATTAGATTCAAAATGCAAGTCATTAGCCTGCTTCTCTCACACATTCAGCTCTGTTGATGTATGGTCGTGTGATGTGTTGTGGCACAGTGACGTTTTACCTCTTTGAAGTAGGCGAGGCCCCCGAAAATATTCTCCTTATGTAACTGTCCCTGCTGCAAGGCCGCACGAGGCTGTGTGAGGCAAAGTGTAATGGTGGATATGCTTCTGAATGTGTGCATGTGCTTGTGTTTGTGTGTGTGTGTGTGTGTGTGTGTGTGTGCCAGTGTTTGCATACAGTATGTAAGCACTTATCTGTATGTGCTCGTTTGCCTGCGTGTTTGAGAGACAGACTATGCTTTCTCCTCTGTGAATTATGCAGACCAGGATGAGGGTGCAGGGTGGGGAAGAACCGGCAGTTACACAGCTTTTGAATTAGAAGAGTCAAAACACTCGGCAGGAAACACAACCACATAAAACAGAATGGGAGGGAGAGGATGAGACTATAGAATGAAACACTGGAGAGAGGAAGACGGGAAGTGAGACAGAGAGCAGGGAAGGGCATGATGACGAGAGGAAGGGTTTAGGAAATGGATTAATCCAAGACCACTAAAAGGGTAAAGAACATAGGGGGTAAGAGAGAATGAGACTCTGGGGTTTGCAGGGTTTATGGTGTCTTAAAGCAGTTCAGTGGTATAATGAGAAATAGAGTACAGAAAAGAAACCAGAAGCAGGAAGGAGAGCAACACAAAGCAGGACATTCCTTTGAGAGTTTGGCAATAACTTTCATATCTACAGTATCCTCTCCTGTACATAGACTCACTGTGTGCAAAAAACCCACCTGCTAATTACGCATAATTACCCCAAATAGCCTCTGATTAGCAGGCAAGGAGCCATTTTTTGTGTGGAACAGTAGGGGGTTTATCAGTGAATCTTTCTCTCTCTCTTTCTCTCTCTCACACACAGACACACACACATACACACACACTGCAGGAACAAAGCACAAAGTGGGCTGGTTATTTTTGGTACAGGCACTTTTTAAAAAAAACCTCTACCATATTAGAAAGCGTACAGTGTCTTGACAATACACTCGTGAGATATCACAGGTGTCACATTTGCACCTTGTTACTAAATCTGGATTTAGTTTTTCCATTTATAGATCAAGTATTTCTGATGTTATGAAGCCTATTTATTGACTTTCCTCTTCTGTTTTTTTTCCATTCTTAACTTCCTTCTTCACATTTCTGTCCCTTCTTCTGTATTGTTCATTCCTGTTTTCCTCTCTACAATCACTCTCTCACTTGTTTTCATGTGCAGGTATTGGTCAAGGTGTCCCGGTGGTGGCTCTCATTGTAGAAGGAGGCCCTAATGTGATCTCCATCGTGCTGGAGTACCTCAGGGACACACCTCCCGTCCCTGTGGTGGTGTGTGATGGCAGTGGCAGGGCCTCAGACATCTTGGCCTTCGGACACAAATACTCTGAGGAGGGAGGGTATGCACTCACACATGTGCACATAATGCTGTAATCCAAGCACAAACACTTACTAATGCAAATTTTATCCAGTGTGAAAAATCAGTTACACTGTGGAAATAGTCAGACAATTGTTTGTAATCAGAATCTCTGATAACATTTATGTTTGACTTTTATAAGTCCCTTGATCAGACATAACGAACATGAAATTTAATGTATAGTGTATATGGCAGAAATATATAATATAATAATATAAAATATAATTTTGCACCTATTGTCGGTTTTAGTTTAAAAACTCTAAGTGATGCAAGAACTTGCAAAAATATACACATTTTCCGAAATGTGCTGATGCATTACTTTAATAATACACACTAAACATTTTTGGTTATATTCCTCATGAGTCACACAATGAATTCAGAACTGTTTTTACAGCTTCACATAATCCAGTTACAGATAAGGGTAACTTTGGAGAATCGCATCTCACCAAGGACTCAGAGATAGTAGTGCTAAGAGCCCCAGTCAACCTTGGTTTCACTTACTGACAAACAAATCTAATTTGCCCACTTTACTCAACCGTTTCCTTCTCCTTACCTCTATCTGACCCCCTTCCTGACACTCTTTCTTCCTCACCTCTGTGCCTCTGCAGCATAATTAATGAGTCTCTAAGAGACCAGTTACTGGTGACCATCCAGAAGACTTTCACCTACAGCCGCACACAGGCCCAACATCTGTTCATCATTCTCATGGAGTGCATGAAAAAGAAGGAGCTGGTGAGTGTCACTGTCATGCATGTGCATATACACATGCCTCCAAACCCACACATGTACATATTTGCACAGTAGTATATTTGCAGAGGTAGAAAAAGCAAAGATATGAGAGGTATATACAAAATAAACACTGAAGCAGAGACAGACTCACATAGACAGATGCTCTCTCTCACTCTCTCCCCCTCTCTCCCTCACACACACGCACACACACCATGAAATCAGTAATAACAGCAATATCACCATTCACTTAAGCTTTGATGTCTCTGCTTTATAAAGAAGCCCAAAAATGAAAAAAAAATAATGTGAAAGAGGAACAAAATGGATTTGTCAAATGAAGCTTGCTCATCATGAAACTTTTATTGAAGCAATTATTACTCCATCTTTTATGCATGACATGTAATGTTAAGTGGATGTAAATGTATTCAGATGACGTTCGGGACCAAATGGCCTCCACCTTGAGAGTCTTTACCGCTTTGGCAGTGTTTAAGGCAGGACACACGTCTTGTCGAGTGGGGCTGTCATACACATCCTTCTCCCATGGGGAGGAGTCTCAGTCCCTTTACAGCAGTGTCACTCACATGAAATCAACCTCTTATTAATGCTGTTAAATGCTCTGTAGAGGTGATATGTATTTAGGTATATGTGCATAAGTTTGTGTGTATACCTTTATCATAGATATGGCTCACAGTAGCAGGGGGTATGATGCTCTTTCACTACACACATTGTGTTTGAAAGCATGTGCAACAAAAGTGCATGTAGGGTGGCTCAGAGGTAGGGTGGGTGTCCAGTAGGTTGGCGGTTTTTGAGCAAGAGACTGAACCCCAAATTGCTTCCGATGTTGCGCATCGTAGTGTGAGAGATGTGTGTGATCTGTTTCTGATGAGCAGTTGGCACCTTGCATGACAACTACTGCCATCAGTGTATGAATGTGTGCCGATGGGTGAGTGTGGCATGTAGTTTACAGCGCTTTGAGTGGTCGAAAGACAAGAAAGGCACTTTATAATTACAGTACAGTCCATTTACCATAGTGCACATGCAAACACCCACACACAACTTACTTAAACTCATTCAAAAGATAACAGTATAACATATCCTCTGTGCTGCAAACAAACAGCCAGCAGCTTTCTCTGTATCTTAGTTTTGCAGCAATAGAAACTTATTTACTACTTGTTTGCTCTCGCCTCAACTCACTTTGAACATAGTGTACAATGTCTTTTGTAAGGGAAGGGAATATTTGCCAGATGAGTTAATGTTGGTACTGCTGACTGCCAGTGGCATTTGGCTAATATATTTTAAATTAGTAGCATACACACACACACACACACACACACACACACACACACACACACACACACCCAAGCCTTATTTACCCTCAACTTTTTAAGTAAAAGTGCTGACCTAGAATCCAGTTTATGATCTTGAAACATGGCAGCTTGGATGTTTGAGATGACCATGTATCGTCTCCCCTGTAGAAATGCTGTATGCTAATCATGTTATTAGGTGTTTGAATTATGATAAATGTAACACACAAAAAATCATAAGCACACACACACACACAATAATATTTTGCAGGCAGACCAGCACTGGTCATGGTTGTCCAGCATGAAAGTGGATTGATTGCATCCTCAGTGGGGTTCCAGTGGCTGACTGATGCTCACACTGATGGATCTTCTGAACACAATACCAGAGCACAACAATGGGGTGTAAATCATTCAGCAGGAGCAGCTGTAGAGGCCAGATAATCACATGCTGCCTTTCTCTGAACTTACAAAACTATTACCATTGCCATACTGAAACTGAGCACTGAATGTGTCCACAAACCCTGTTTCAGCCTTGCAGTAATATTTCTGCATTTTACAGTTCAATTAGATTTTTTCTGATAATTCATTCACTGCCAAAGGAATAAAATGCTCTTTATCATGCCTTGTCTAATTAATACATCTGTATGATCACAGATAGAGTGCTGGAGCAAGTAAATTCAACAGTGGGATAGGTCTTGATATCCAGGAAGCTGTACTTCATGTAACATGTATGAATGTGTAAAGAAATAGCCACCTGTGGCTTATAACTCGAACAATGCCATTGAACATTTACCAGTGACATAAAACTTTGATAATATACTTTCTGATAAGTATTCTATTCATTTTACAGTAAGTCTTCCATTGCACCATGCAGATAATCTCAAAAAGCCAAAGTTGATTATGGTTGTTGGAGAAAGAAAGAGATAGATGTGGCACTTTTCCTCTTTATCAGGCTGGTAGGAATCACAGGGGTTCCCTCCTGATCGCACTCCACGATCAGCCACGGACTGGAGTGTGTATGTGTGTGAGAATCGAGGGGAGTAACTGCGAGGGAGAAGGTGAAAAATCAATTGGCAGAGAGCTCCTATTGTCCTATACAAAGCCCGAAACTCACATCTTGTTGCTCGGCACAAGACCGTAAAAAAAGTGGATCAAACACATTTCCCTGTGTGGTTAACTGTTTTTGTATAAGTACGGCATGCCGGTAAGATCAGTAAGAAGATTGGGAGTCCTCCAGAAATCCTGTTTTGGACCTCTGGTGACAAATGTTGTCTTGGCTCTCACTCACTGGTTCTCACTTGATCCCTGATCAGACTGAACTACTGTCTATACCTCAAATATTCAAATGCTTCAGGACTATTTGATAAAAGCAATACATCCCTTTTGAGATGAGGCCAAAATGAATCTCCCAGGATGTGATTTTATTTTTTTTTCTGTTCCCTACCCTACTACAGTAGTTCCTCATGTGGGGTCTGTAAGAACACATTTCTTCATGTGTTTGTCATCCCCTCTTACACAAGAAGGTCAAAACATGGTCCTACATGGTTTCTGGCTGTAATATTAACACTAGAGATTAAAACTGACTGGCATTGCGAGGGAATTGGTGAATTACTTTTATTTATTTTGTCAACTTTTGAAATATTAGTGCACTCTTTCTACAATCATATTTAAATATTTCTACAGATGACATGAGTGTAACTAAGACTTGAGAAATCTAGATGCAGCTAATACTTACTGTATAGTGCCTGTACCACAATCCAAAAGCAATTATAGACACTTGTGTTTACCCTTGTTTACCAAAGCCAAGTAGTGTCAAATCCATGTTAACACTCAGGTTAAGAGCAGGGTCACAAAACTGTTATGTTAACTCACTGGTAGCAAAATGGGGGTTTGACCTGGGTCAGTGCAGCCGTCTGAAAGGGGGGTGAAGTGTATGTGAAAGAGAGCCAATGAGAGTGTATGTTTGTCTGTGCGCCAGGATACCTGTGCTGCTTTCATTTTTCTGGCTCTGCAGCAGGAAAACTAAAGAGTAGGAGGAAAGGAGAAAGACTAAAGGTGACTGGCTGGGAAAAGGAGAGAGGGAGTGTGTGTGTGTGTGTGTGTGTGTGTGTGTGTGTGTGTGTGTGTGTGTGTGTGTGTGTGTGTCTGCTTAAGAGGGCAAGTGAAGAGAAGGAGGAAGACTAAAGAAAGCCTGTGTCTTGCTTTTTCCTTATTTTCAGCATGTTGGTTTATTCATGTTGGCATTTTGTGCTTCAGTTATTTCCCTGTTGCCTCTCCTTTGTTTATCATTCTCAGGTTGTTCATGCTTTATATCATGTGGCAATAAACGTGTGTACCTCTGTGTTTTATGTTTTTATCTTGGTTTTACCAAGTGGAACAGGCCTCATAGTTGTTTTTCACTAAAATGGTCATTTCAAGATGCCACATGATGAATTTTATCATTAATATATGACTGTGAAGTTGGTTAGGTAATAAATTATAAATCTGAGAAGTGCTTTTTGCAGCTACAAACAGTAGCCCCCGATTATCTGCTTTATGCTTTCATTTGGTCTAATTTAGGAATGTGCTGGCTCATCTCCCTGTGAAAAAAATCTGTCCTGATAGATGATAGACTATTAGGTTCCAAGGAGGAGGGAGTGGAAATAATTGTGAAGCTAAGCAATGAATAATGTTGTAGCTCTTGGGTTTTACTGAAGGGTAACAGATGTAAGGTATATAGATAATGTGTTATATGAGTGCAATGAAAGGGAATGCTGAAAGAAAGCATAGGCCACATTTATATCAATTTGTGTGGATGATAGGGGTAATTATCGTCCTCATATATGCGCATCACTTATCTTGTTTCTTTTATCCTTCTACGCAAAGGTGGAACAGTTTCATATGAATGTCAAACAAGCACAATGAAAAGACTTCAGGCTGCGTGAGAACCAGTGCCTTCAAATAATCTTAAGGCCTGTTGTCACGTAGCTCTTTTTTTGCTAAAAATGTGTGAATGCAATTCTCGGTCTAATTAAAAGAGAAGTGCCTCTTTCTCCCACACCCTCTCTCTCTCTCTGAGTTCCATGCTCTGTGTGGGGGGATGCAATATGACTGTCCTAGTATCTCCCAGCTTGATATGAATAATTGAGTGTAGAATAGTCCTTATATGTTTAATTCGGATTAAATATTGAGGAGGAACCACCAATCCGCAATTTCCCTCCGCCTCCCTGACAAGAGAGAGACTAAGAACGAGTGGGAGGAATACAAGAGCAAAAGAGTGACTTAAATGGACCATGGGAGAGAGGGAGAGGGAGAGTGGTGTGAGGGACAGATGGAGGGAACATGGTGGAGGGTGGGAGGAAATGAGACAGGAAGTAAGAAGGGAAAGCTAATGTGGTTTGGGTGGAGAGCAAATGTAAAACTGAGGTGCAGTAAAGAGTTATCAAACAGATACATATACTGGAAGAGAGACAAGACCTTGGTTTATTATCAGCAGGGAAGTTTATCAGTTTAAACTTTCATGAATAGAACAACTTCTATTTTTATTTTACTTATTTCCCTACTTTTTTATTATTCTATTGCTTTTTTTCTCCTCAGCATGTGCTGCCATGCTGAAGACTAGTGGTTTATGGTTCATACCAGAAAGTAATAAATACCATAGATCATTAGCAGAGCTTTGTCAGATCTGAGCTGCTACCATTGTTAATAATTGGACTAGATGCTTTGAAAGCCTCCATGGACTGTACAAGTGCGTGTGTGTGTGTATTCTCATATGTGTGTGCTGTGATGTCTGCCATGTGTCTTGTATGTATGTGCATGTCCATGTAGCAGCATCAGCAAGGTCTTTGCCTGTTAAATGAAGATGAATGTTTTCCAATCAGCTTGGCTCACTGCAGCGTGAAGAGCAAATTTCTGATCCTCTAAGCATGTTGCTTAGCATCTCTGTAGATGTGGGAATCCTCTGACAGTCACACTGGGGAACATTGCACTGCCTCCTTTTTTTGTCGTATCTTATATCCATCCTCTATTTGTCGGCACTAGATCTCCCTCCTGTCTTCCTTTGCTTTGCACATGCTTCCTCTTTCCTGCTGTCTTTCGTCTGTCCTCCAAATCCCTGCCTCCGCTTGTCTCCCTCTCCTTATTGTTCCCGCTCTTTTCCTCTATCCTCTTTTCTTGTCAACAGAGAGATGGAGTGCCCTGTCTCTTGCATGTTGACCCCTGAGGTGATGACTGTCAGTGTAGAGGCAGAGAAAGGTCAAAAATGCTTTCAGAATTTAAAGATTTAACATTAACATTAAAAACATTAACCAGGCACAGCTATCATCCACACATCAAAAATACAACGCATAACAGATGGCAGATTTTATGCCATGAGTTAAAAAAAAAAAAGACTAAATGTTTGCTCACAGTAAGTACAAGATGTACAAAAATAGATTGGGGGGGGCTGTCTGTTTACCTTTGCACACACTTATTGATGACTCTCTATGGGAGTGTTGAGATTAAATTAGCAACCTTGTGTCGTCATAGCGGTTATGTCGCTTAGCCTCTGTACTGTAGAGCTTCTATTATAACAGGTAGCGCATATCCACAGGGTCACCTTGGGGGTGTGATTGGAAGAAAGGAAGAGGCAGGAAGAAATAGGGAGCAAGCGGACAAGGATGAGAGGGGGAGGCAAAGGAGCAAGCCAGTGGGAGGTTATTGTGAGATTAGTGGTTGTGGGTGGGGCAGGTGGTCAGAAAGATGATGGGTAGAACAAATGGAGTGGAGGTACAGGTGGAGAGGCCTGGAGGGAGGGAAAAAAAAACAATGGCAAACATCTTCTGTAATCATCATCTTTCCTCTTTCACACTGTCATCCATCTTTACTCCACAAACCGTGTGTGTGTGTGTGTGTGTGTGTGTGTGTGTGTGTGTGTGTGTGTGTGTGTGTGTGTGTGTGTGTGTGTGTGTGTGTGGCCATTCTGCTATAATGATAACTACAGGGTGTAATGAAGAACTGGCCAAAATAAGAATCTGCACTGATTGGGTGAAATTAGGCTTGCCCATGAGCACACCCCTAAAAATTATACATATCTGCCCTTACCCTTACTCTCTCTCTCTCTCTCTCTCTCTCTCTCTCTCTCTCTCTCTCTCTCTCTCTCTCTCTCTGCTCTCACTCTCTCTCACAAAAAAAACAAGATCTTGTTGCATGCATTAAGTTTGACCTTTCAGAGTCACTACGTAAGAGCACACACAAAACAAACCACAATTTTAAACACACACACACACACACACACTTGGCTGGATCATAGTATTGCATGTGTGTGTTAAACAGATGGCCCCTGAAATGTGTTGTTAACATCTATTAGAGTGAAGGCAAAGATGCATTCTAGGAAACAATAATCTGGCCACTGGCCACACCATTCAAACACACACACATTCTCACACAACCACACACTATAACTTAACTCAGACACAAGCACATGAAATCACACACTACACCAGTGAATCATGGTGTCCCCGCTGATGAAGACCTCAATCGATATCTTCACATCCCATTGTACTCCTATTTCACCTGGAGAAAGCCCTTTGATTACCCAGGCAGATAGAAACGGTCACACACACACACACACACACACACACACACACACACACACACACACACACACACACACTTGCCTTATTAGTGATTGCATTTGCGATGCATGGCTCAGGTCTCAGGCTTTACATGATGTCTCACACCCAATTTCTCTCTCAGGGAGGAGCCAACATGTCATCAGCATGTGGTATACAAATGATAAATGAGCCAACATAATAGCTACTGTAAATCATCAATGTGAAGTGAATTACTTTTTTGCATTTAGATTGTGTGAAAGTAGAGAGAGATACAGAGAGAAAGGGGAGGGGTATCCTACAGCATTGCCCAAGGGAAAGCAGCAGCAGCAAATTCCAGGAGCTCCATGAAATGAAGCCATTTAGAGGGGGAGATGGGAAGGGAGATGGGCTGCAGGGAGGAGAGGGAGGTGGGAGGAGATAGATGGGTGGATGGAAGGATTAGAAGAATAGCTTGTCAGGCATTCAGAACACGCATTCTCTCGTACACGGCTCCCACAAGGTGCCCTTCACACATGCCCACATATGAGCATGTATACCCACACATGTTAATGTGTGCATGCGCTATATTCAACAAAAAAATAAATAATCCAGAAAGGCTGCCCCATTTCCCACTCAGCTGACTTAGGCTCTCACCCATCGCACCATTAGTTCATGTCACGCACGATATAAAAAATGCAGCTAAAAGACATGTCAGACCACACAGAGGAAGACCTAAACTGGCCTTAGAGAATTTTTTTTCCATAAATCCTAATCCAAAAAATGTTTGACACAGCAAAAGAAAAATGTTCTTCGGTAATAGGAAGCACCATTAGTTCATATTCATCTGATCTCTCTCTTTGTCATGTTTTTACTCTCGTTCTCCTCTGTTGCCTTCTAAGCGAAACCCCTCATTCCCTCGTTACAGTGAACATCCTGCATGTGAGAGTTTTTGTGGAGTTCTCTGCACAAGAGACAAGAGAGAATAGAAGAGGAGTCTGGGGAGGATATTCAGTACATTAGATCAGAGCAATACCTCTCCTCTCCTCTTCTCTCCTCTCCTCTCCTCTTCCCTCCTCTCCTCTTCTCTCCTCTTCTTCCCCCTCTGAGACCTCGGCCGCAGTGTTTTAGAGAAGCAGCCTAATCCAGCAAATGAGTGCACTCTAACTCAGAATATGATTTTTATACTACAAGCCTTGATACATTTAGTCAATAGATGTAAACTATTCAAACAGTTTGCCATGTGTAGAATTAATGCACCTGTCTCTCACTCTTTCTCTGCTGCTGTCTGTCTTTCTGTCTGTGTCTCTTTCTGTCTCTCTCTCTCTCTCTCTCTCTCTCTCTCTCTCAGATAACAGTTTTCCGGATGGGGTCGGAGGGACATCAGGACATTGACCTTGCCATCCTCACTGCATTACTCAAAGGTGGGTGTGTGCATTTATGTGTGTGTGCTGGAGCATGACTGTACAGTAAGTGGCTTCCATTTCACTGTCGCCCCCCCAGGGATGTTGTTATTCGGGTGTTTCTGTACATAAAAGGAGGATGATATCGTTTCAGAAAGCATTCCTCTCACTGCCCCAGTTTAGGTGTATGTTCATATCCCACAAGTATGTTTTAACTTTTGCACTTCATAGCTCAGGAATAAAACATAGACATCTGTTCTTATTTTTCTCTCTTAAAGCTCCATTAAGCGATTTTTGCGATCACTGCAGGGCGGGAAGACTCCAAAGCAAACTTGCAGGATTGAGTCTTGATGTTATATTAGCTTATCAAACCATTTCTTTCTTACAGTTTTAGCAGAAACTGAGTTACCATAGACATAATACTGGAGTCCTCTTATTACTGTCCAATATATTATATTAGCCACTGGCTTGGTCCAGTAACTTTTTAATTGGTGAGCTTTAGAGTTGCTGATTGGCAGATAATGTTACTTTTGGTCAGGCTAACTATTTCCCTCTGTCTCAGATTATTGTGCTATGGTAACTGACTGCAGGCTCTAGCTACATATTTATTGCACTTCTCATCCAACTTGTGTATTTCACAAAATATCGAACTATTCCTTTAAATATGAGAAGGTCGTGGCCTATCAGCTATTAAAGCCGTTTCAGACAAACTCGCAGTGAATTCAGGTTTGCTCATTTATATGCTAATAAAACCATGATATCATAACAACACCTGCAGAATAATTAATTAGCATGAACACAGCTGCTCATTAACTGTGTCGCCAGAGAGAAATAATTACATGTACTACACATACAGTCACAAATGAATTATGTAGTATTGTGTCTTTTAATCAAATATCTTTTGAAGTATATGTTTCAATTTAATTTGCATTTATCAAATTAATTCCCTTTGAGGTCAATAATCACTTTTAAAAGGGACATACGGCCAACTATGTGCTATTATTCCACAGCCATAGAGAAATTTCTTTTGGACATGAAGGCTGCGACATTCAACCTTTATTTGAATTCAGAAATACATTGAGGTAGATATCTCATTTACAAAATAGCAGAGTAAGGTAAATAAAGTAAAATAAATAAAAGAGCCTATGTACCAAGGAACACAAATAAAAAGCAATAATAAAACAACACAATAAAACATAAACATAAAAAAAATTAAAATACATGCAATTATAGTGCAGTAACAGACATAAAGTGCAGACATAAGTGCATTCAAATACATGCAACACAGCGCCTCATTTAACACGCTCATTATCTCATAGTTTAGGAGAGTCGCTGATAGAGGTATGAAAGAGTTTTTATACCTATTGAGGTATCTTTTCCCGTATTTAATCGGAACCCTGTAGTGTCTACCTGTTGGTAACAGTTCGTATTCTGAATACAGGCCATGGGAGGCATCAGCAATAGTTGTAACTATAGTGTTTTAACTATAGTTTTTTAAAACAGCATTTAGATGGAGGGATGCTCCATCACCCCGATCACTTTCATTGTTTTAATGTGGCACAGTCTGCTTATATGTGATTTTAACTTAACTGGTATTTTACCAAACCAAGCTGAGATTTCATAATGTAATATACTCTCTATCATAGCATGATGAGCCTTTTTATCTACAGACGCCTTCTATGTAGTCCACCATGTTGAACCAATATGTTTCTATAGTATCCCAGAAAGGACAAACCGAAGACTGGCTCTAATCTGCAACTATACACAGCCATAGTAATAGCTTTAGACAAGCAAGTGGTGATTTAAAGGCTCATATGTATCTAGGTTTCCCCCTCCACATATCACATTGCAAACATGTAGAATAATCAATCAGCATAGTACCAGCAGCACAGACCAAAGGCATGGCACAGTAAGATATACAGTCAGCAGATCTTTACACTGTAACAAATTGTTATGCAATTAACAGTAAGGGCAATGAACTGGACCAAATTGGGTTACAAAAATTGAAAATTTGTCAAGTGCAGAAATAGCAATTAAACCACCATTGTTCCCCACCCTCTACTCTATTTCACACTTCAGTGTTCTACACACACACACATACACACACACACACACACACACACACACACACACACACACACACACACGGATTCATAGATCCATACTTTCGATTGGTTGTTCAGTAGCTTCTATTGATCAAGTTTGCTCTTGCCTCTTCAAGGAATATGACGCTAACAAGGCCCAGTGGAGTTTGCACGCAACACACCCAACACACACCTATACATGTGAACACAGAAGGTACACACTCGTGCACGTGTACGAAGGGGAAGTGAGTCCTGTGGGAGTTTCAGAGCATATGATTGACTATCGCAGAAATTGTTTCTCAGAGAAAAATTTCATTCCATAGAGAGAAAAACTAGTGAGTTTGGAGAGGGAGTGAGCGAAAGAGAAACGTGTTTTACATAATTTATGTATAGCAGTCAAGATGAATGATTTCTTTGGCCAATTCATCACTCCCTGATCTTTGTCTTCATCTCTTGCTCTGTTGCTTTCCTTATGTATACATGTCTCATTTGTTTATTCTGTCGACTTCTGTTAACCTGTCTTTCGTTTCTGTTTTCTTTTTAGCCCTTTATGTATTCATTTCATTGACATTGTGACAGGAATGGCATGTAGATGAATGAGTGAAGGAGGGAATTGAAGTCAAAGAAGACAAAGTAGGAAAAGGGAAATGAAAAGGAGGGGGATCAGAGAAGTGAAAGGATGAGAGGCAAAAAAAGCTTTATGGTAAACAGCATGAGGGTCATCATCATGCAAGTCTCATTTTGCAGCTGAGTGAATGAGACGCGTTAGGCTTTTAGTGTAAAATGAAATCAGTCACATCCTGCCTGAGAGCTTTTTAAAACACTGGATTAGACTCCTTTGCTGAAGAACTAAGCTACTGCCTGAAGCTCAACAAGGCACAGCACAGTCAGGAATACAAGGTTAGGGGAGAACAGAGATGAATAAAAAAAAAACAGAATGAAAGGATTGAGTGTGTGAGCCTGTGTGAGCGAAAGAGAGAGAGATTTATAGAAGTGGGAACAGACAGAGCAGGAACGTTACCGCAGCTAAAGACACATGGTGTAACAGAGGGGAGTTTGGAGTAATTGATGGTCTGCTGTCTGAGGAAGTCAATATCCTGAAGATTGGGTCCATAAAGTCAGTTGGCTGCAGTTCAACCCCCCTGCAGGCGGACTGAGTGAAGCCACAGGCATTTCATAAAGCAAGGCCACCCTGCCTTTTAATATACACATATCTCCACTAAAGCTCTTATTAGTAGGCTCTGCATCTTATTAGCAGGGCTCTGTCTGAACATTAAGCTCCAGCAAAGCTGCACAGGCCTTTAAGGAGGACAGAGCACTATGTAAAGTGATGATACTGGTGTGCTTAATAAAAAATTACACTGTCTTGTCTAAACACAGGGGATTATTACTATACATTACACCAGATTTCTCTAAATGCAGAGGTGAAATGTTGCTTTATATTTCTCATTTTGGGTAACTCCCCTCGGTGCACAGGTAAATCATTAAAGGGGTGGTTATGTGTAAGATCTAAGTAGTGAATGGTGTTTGACTTTTTGTAGCACTTTTACATTGAAGGTTTGGATTGTACAGTTCTGAATAGAGATTTGAATTTTAGATTTTAGATTTACAATACCTCTCTGTCCTTGTTTCATTTTATTCTGTGTCTGAGATCTTTATCCATTATATTAAGTATTTAAGACATATTCACTTATACCTAGAGTAAGAAGTATTACTATACATGCCTGGGGCCAGTTTCATAAGTGTCTTTAGACTAAGATTATCCTAAAATCCATCATAATGATCTTTTTACATTTCAGGGTGAATAAATTAGATTAAATAATAAACTAAGGCCGGGCTCAGACTAGAGACAAGATAAATCTTGTCTGGGACCTTGTTTGGTACTGATGTTTGACCCAGATTATCTGGTAATGTAAGGAGTTTACAGATCCGGTCTTAAACCTCCGAAACCACTTGCAGGCTCAACGAGGCCGCCCCAATAAATTCAATCACTTTTGATATTTTGGAGTAAAAATCTAGATGGTTAAGTCAATACCTTCTGAGCGGGACCACAAAGAAGATCACAAATTAACAAAAGAAAAACACCAAACAAAAAAACCAGCCCTGCATTGTGAGTCTCTCGGCTGATTTACACCCACCAGCCTGTCCTTAAACAAACAGCCATGACACGCAGCAAAGCTATCACAGTGATGAGAGAAGTGGCCTTTTTTTAGCAATGTCATCCAATACTTTTATTTTATCCTTATTTGTCAGTGTGCCCTTGAATCTTGTAAACAAGATGTTTTTTTCCTTCCTCTACTTCATCTAGTATTATATTAAACAAATCAGATCCGTCCAGAATGCCACTTTTTTCTCATGTGTATGTATGTACTGTATGTACAGTACTTCTTCTTCTTCTGCTGATTATGTTACAGTCATGTTGATGTTACTGGAAGACCAGAGCACTGTAAGTGATGTTCACAGACACAGCAAATCAAAGGAACACAGTTGCATTCTACATTTTATGCAGGGATCAGGTGGAGCATTAAATTAAGTCATACATCAAATAACAAGCTGTCATTCTTTAACAGGAGGAAATCTTCTTCTCTACAGACACACAGAACATTGTAAAGTGAAGCACAATCCACCAAGCCTGAATTTAGATTAAGCCCACTAAAGATGCCCTCAACCTTCAATAAAGGCAGCTGGCTATCATTAGTGGGCGTCAGTGATTCCCAGGATCCTCCGAGCTCCTTCTCTCTCTGCTAACCATCTTTTTTAACTTCCTTTCCTTCTTTTAAAAGACTGAAAGTTATACGAGCCATGAACAGACAGGTTCTGCAACAGCACCGACCCAAAGGTTGTTCCTAAATCACTAATGTGCTGTCATTGTTCCTGTCTATATGACCCCATAAGGTTATGGTATGTATACATTGATATACACCATACCACCGTTTTGTGTGAGCTCACTATCCAATTTCAATTCAGTTTTATTTTTATAGCACCAATTCATAACAAAAGTTATCTCAGGACACTTTTTTAAAAAAGCAGGCCATACTCGTGTATAACTTAGCACAAATTATATTTTCCCATAGATGTCTCTAAGTTAAGACCTGTACATTTTCTACAACAAAACTATCGGAAAATAAGACGATAAGCACATAAGGAGAGTATAAAATATGCAAAAGAGACAGACTATTATCGGTCACTATATCTAACAACTACAGCATACTATTATGTGATATATCTCAACGTTAAAGAAACCTTGTTGTCCGGAAATATGACATTGTCCCTCAACTGGTGTGTATTCTCTCTCAGGTGCCAACGCTTCAGCTCCTGACCAGCTGAGTTTGGCTCTGGCGTGGAACAGAGTGGACATCGCCCGCAGTCAAATCTTCATCTACGGACAGCAGTGGCCTGTAAGAACCATAAACAGTACTGCACAAACAAGAATATACATACTGCAGAAATAATTGATTGTATTCACAGGGCTTGTTTGTTCCTTTTGTGTTCTCACTGATATTAACATTATGCTATACTGCACTGCCTTAATAGGTCTTGTAGCATGAAGGTTTTGGCAGTGTGCCTCAGTCTAGCCTTGTACCGTACTCTTGTTTGTTTACAGTCCTTAACTGCTGATATTTTTAATAACAACTGATATTGTATACATGAAATGCAGTTTAATGGATTTATATAGCGCTTTTATCCGAAGTGCTTTACAAGGTTTTTGCTACTTATCCACCCATTCATGCACACACCCACACACCAATGGCAGTAAGCTACCATTCAAGGTGCTGGCCTTACCATCAAAAGCAATATTGGTATTCAGTGTCTTGCCCAAGGATGCTTTAAATGTGGTGAGGAAGGAATGAACTGGCAACCCTGTATCAATGGATGACCCGTTCTACCATCTGAAGACGAGAAGAGGATATCTTTCTGTAAAAGTGGTTAGAAAGTGAAAAGTGGTAACTTCAACGGCATATGAAAGGATACTGCCTATTTAAAAGGCAATTTGGATGCAGAAGGCAGCTCAGGATTAATCACAGGTGAAAGGTTCAGCACACACAAATGGTTAATAATCAATAATAATTATAATAAATTAAGGACTGCTGTAAATATCTGTGAACATAATGAAAAGTATGCATTCCTTGCAGTTCTGGAATTGTATAATTTGATACTGTGCTAAAATGTCTAAGCATGTTATTTCAACTCACTTTATTTTCTATGTGTAGTCTGTGGAATAAGGTATATAACATATGAGTATTCAAGTAGATATTACGTGTGAAATCCTATCATAATAGTGCTGTTGTAGTTTTAGTAACTGATTGTGCTTGATCTTTATTTATTTCCCTTCTGTATAGTTTGTAGTATGTAGTGTGTGCTGTGTATGGTATGGTCAGTATATGTATTCTCCGTGTCATGTGCCTTAGGTCGGTTCCCTAGAGCAGGCGATGCTGGATGCCTTAGTTCTGGACAGAGTGGACTTTGTCAAGCTGCTGATTGAAAATGGAGTCAGCATGCACCGTTTCCTCACGCTTTCCAGACTGGAGGAGCTCTACAACACGGTAATAACAAGTACACATAAACGGATTGGAAATATATGTTGTATTATCTTATTTGCAACACACCAGGGAACAGCCCCATTGGCAAATATTTGCGATAATGAGTTTCAAATAAAATGTTGACTAAAAGCTTATTCGCAAGCAAGCTTTATTTACATATCACATTTAATGCCAATGCGCCGCAGAGAGCATGAGCCACTACGGACGTTGCAGCCCCAAAAACTGTGGATAGTATAAGACAACACGTTAGAAACAAGGAAACAATTAAAACAGACACATAAATATATATACAAGTTAACATAACATAACAACAACAATGAATGCAAATTCAACCAATCTCTGTGCATGTGCAATTCGAGACCTTGCAATTTTGTTCAATCATTGCAACTTTTCCTCAAATATTACTAGTCATTGTAGTTTCCTGCACAAAATGCTGAGACATACATCACCAAATTCAATGCTTTGTTTCTAGTTGTGAAGATGCAGATGCCTAACATTTACCCTCATAATCCCTTTGTCTTTTTGGAAAGGTAACTCCAAACACCACAATTTTATTCTTACTGGAACAAGTTGGCTGTTGATTATATAAAAAAATTGATATATTTTTACATGACAAATTTTTTAAATGTTCACTTTTCCGTTTTCAATGTCTAAAAACATTGCAACATGGATTGCAATTGTGTTAGAAAAGCTGCCATTTAATCAGTTGCAACAATCCTCCAAAAAAGCCTGCAAAATCCTGGAGGGTCTGGTGAAATAGCAGTTAGGATTTGAACACAATAAACATGGTGGTGGTACTGAACATTATAGCAGGCAGGGTCAGCTTCATCCTAAGGGACTGTAGATGCTGTCAGTGACAGTAATATCCTTCTATGTTGTGTTTGTTTGTTTTTCCAACAGAGACATGGACCATCCAACACGCTGTACCACCTTGTCAGAGATGTCAAAAAGGTATGGGCATCACTGCCGTCCCCTCAGCTCTGTGGCTGTTCAGGCAAATGTATGGGAATGTTGGCTTGAATGTGTATATTAAAGAAGATGTTTGACTACATAGAGTTTCAGTTGCTTTTTTTTTTTTTTTTTTTTGCGGTTTGTGTTTGTTTACTCTGTTTGCATCAATTTGTGTCAACATCTTTGGTAGCCCTAGTTGCTGTTAAATGCAAATAGAGGCCGGCTTTTCTCTTTCAGCTGGAGTTGCGGGCTGCAGTGGCTGTGTAGAGCTATGCACGACTCACATCCCTCTCATGACTTTTTAGCAATTTACTCTGTTCTTTCTCTCAGGCACACTACCATTGTAAACAAACACTACATGTATTAAACATTGCTTTATCCACAGAACTTGAGTTTGAGCAAACTGGGGCCACAGTGGAACTGCTGTGAGGCTGAGAAGGAAGAACTCAGTAGACGCCCACAATTGTTTAATTTCTTTTTTGTATTATGAACAACACTTTTAAGTGTGTTGTTTTTGATATGCAGTAGCATCTGGTTCTTTTTAGTGATTTCCTTACATGAAATAAACATAATTTTTTATCAGGATTGTGTTATTTTCATGTTTAAGACGATGCAAGGCTGGAATCGTCTCTCAGTAAAGGCTGTGGCTGCACTTAAGCTAACAAATGTCAGCACTATGCGGTGTTCATTATTTTTGCGACATATCTCCTATAGCACCTTGATGATTACTGCGATTAAAGACACCAACCTAGAATTTTACAGTCAGCACATGTCTGCACACCAATTAGAAGTGAACCCGCTGTTGAGAGATGATGGAGAGGTCAGCAACACCAACATTAGCATTGAGAGGTGTTCATTAATTAAAGTGTTACTGATTACAGTAATGCCGCATGTTCCTATGGGAGTCGCTGAAGAGGCTTGATGTTGTAATCACTCCTCCTTTACCCCCTCTCTGTCTTTAAACACAACTCTGATCTCAAGTTGGTGCAGAGAGAATGTACAGTTTACATTTCACAAACACACACTGTAGTGCATGGCATAACAGCCCCATCTTCTTTTTGTAGAGCTGTGTGTAATTGCCATAGTGTAGCTGAGTGTTTGTGTGTCGTCGTATCAGAGTATGATGCTAATTAGTTTTAACTGCTCTCCTTCGGGTGTAGTCACCATGTCATCGCCGTTTTCTTGATTTCTCATTCTTCTCTGTAGATTGTTTGGGCATACTGTCAGCAACTGGCTGATTCAGATGCAGGTGTCGTGCTAACAGCTGTTAGAAGCTGTATGAGGTTGCTCTCAGGTTCAATCTGGTCCATTCATTAAATTGTGTGAAAACTGAGTCATAAAACAGAAAACCACTGAAATGGGCTTTTGAACTACAGCTGCCATCGCAGAAATTGGTTTTCCTACAGAGTAAATGAACAATGCAGTTTTGTGGCCAAAGGGTGGTAGCAATACACATGAATCTCAGATTTAAGGAACGGTTAGGAGAAAATCCAAATGTAACTGGGCGGTTTCAAACATCAGTACTGGGTTAAGAAACTCTGACTTTTTTGAGTGTATATTGCGTCGAACATTTAAATTTTGTCTCATCGTGATAATCTGGTGAGCTTCCGTAAGTTTGGCACAAAAAAACACCGATACAAAAGCTTCTATTTGTTTAACTAGTTGGAGTTAATGCCAGGGCTTTGATGTGTGCAGGCAGGAAAGAGACATTTTAAGTAGAGCATCTTCCCCATTAAAACCTCTAGTGCTCTAAGCTCTCCCAGTGTATTCACACAAGGTGTAAACAAACAGTTATTAGCTTGAGCTTCACCACTACAGGGAATTAAAGGAGGGCTTGACTGACCACTGACTAGTGCATTTGAACTATATATATCAGCAGCATGAGGATGTGAAGCTTTGGCAACGCTATCTGTGGCTCCCTCTACTTCAAAGTGTAACCGTTGGCCTCCAAGGGTTTGCCAGGCTTTACCACCAGTGAAATTGAATCTCTGGATGTGAAGGCTATGGATGAGTAGGACAGAGAGGATTTTAGGATCTCACACCTGAGTGCAGAGGAGTGTAGATGGTATCAAGGGAGGTGTAGAGGTATGTGAGGTAATTGGTGTAGCTCAAAGGAACAGTGGGGGTCAGGATAATGACTACAGGATCTGGGGTGGGTGTTGAAGGCATGATGAGGAGCAGCAAGTGTTGACATGGTTATAGTCCTCACGTGAAAGGACTTTTATTTCAATAATGATTTTCCCCTCCAGTGTTAATGGCTGTCTGTCTGTTTCTCCATGCGGTTGCCCCTCTCTTCCAGGCTAATGAGACATTACCACTTTCTTTTTCTTTTCCTCTCTTCAAGACTACATTGAACCTCACTGAGTAGAAAATCATTATTTCCCTAAATGCAAATTATGACTAATCAATCAATTTTTTACATCCCTTGTAATTGTCCTCAGACATTATATTCCCTCTGTGAATCATACTGCACCTTAGTTTTCATTGTCTCCTCATTTCCTGCTCCTCAATAAGAGAACAAGTTGTACCTTGGGGCTTGGGAGTAATATCTGAAACCTGAAACTGTGATCAGTTTTTGGTTCAACCAATTACAAGATTGGAGGATCTCCAGATTTCTAGATTCAAACCAAAGTCCACATGGTTTTAAAGAATTCAAGATACAACAACATAAACCGAACCACAGTCTGGTTGAGATAAAAAATCATCAAAGAGGCTGGAAGAGAGATCTTGCCTTGGAGTTTCTCATTTCCCCTGCTCTTGCTTATCGTGCCGTTTACTCACTGACATTGTGTGTTCTTTCCAAGCGAGAATATCCAGGGTTCAGTTGGATCTACTTCAAGGTGAATCCGATAATCACGTTTTCTTTCATAGCCCAAAACAGTTTAATATGGATATTGTGAAGTGAGTGTGTATGACTGTGAGATTTGTTTTGTACTCTTTTTCTCCCTCTTGTTTACCCTCCATTATTAATCATTTGGCATGGGTTGTTGCGTGTTAACACTGTCTGGTTTTGTAGGGAAACCTGCCCCCGGACTACCGCATCAGCCTCATCGACATTGGACTGGTCATTGAATATCTCATGGGCGGGGCATATCGGTGTAACTACACCAGGAAGAGGTTCAGAACTCTGTACCACAATCTCTTTGGACCCAAGAGGGTGAGTGAAGGATTCTTACCCGCATTCACTTCCCAGCATTTAATGCACACTAATGTCTGGGATTTTTTAATGTCATTAATCAAAGGAACAATATCAGTTAAATGAGCCTCATGATCAAATTAGCCCTGATAAGGGCAAAATGAATAACATGTGCGAATTATGTTTTATAATAAAATGTTAATTAGGAATTTTGTACTCAAGGGCAAACTTCACCTTGCTGATTCTAGTAGTAAATTAGCACATACATATCAATGTTAGTTTTAACATGATTGAATGAACAGGAGCCTTTAGCAAGTGTGATACTAGATGTTTGGAGCAATGATGACAGAAATTAGTGAACCACATACTGTATTGTATGTTGTTTTTATACAGCAAGTGGATTCTGATCTTTCTTTTGCTTAGACAAAAAAAAAAAAAGTTTTATAAATATTAGTAAAATGTATGACTGAATTGGCAGGACAGGAATAGTTTATCTAGGAATAAATGGAAATCAACTGACAACTATTTTGGTTAGTTAATCTATCAGCCCCAACCAGTTTGTCTTCAAGGGGCAACTGCTAGCTAATGAAGCACTAGGATGGAATATAAATCTACATATCTCAGCCTGACAGCCCAAAAGAACATCCATTAAAAACACACATCACTAATCCACACAAATCATGATCTCCTACAATCAAAGTGCTGTTCATCAGCAGAGGTCAAACATAAGAGTTGTCTTCCCGTTATTCTTCATTTCCACTTCAGGTAGAGAGGCAGCACAGCACAAGCTATTATTAGCTTGATGCAACAAACCATCCATCTATAGCAGTGGCTCTTCATCATGTGCCATCATAACCCCAGTGATATACACACATCCAACTGCTACAGAAACTCATCTCACTGATTAGCACACCTTCAATCAAAGTGGAGGAACTGATCATTGACATCGTGCTATAGTGTTTGTGTGTTTTACACCACACATACTGCACATTATATGGTATATGTTCATCTGTTGTTCTAAATCTCTCATTCTGCCTCAATACCTCACACACCGCCACAGGTGTGATGAAAATAGAAGTACACACAGCTGGGTCTCAAACATCATATTTCTGCTTGATTGTGCACCTTTTTGTTTGTATGTATGAGTGTGTTTGTTTGTGAGTGTGTGTGTGTGTGTATGTGTGAGAGTCTCCATGTGCCTGTTTATCTCATTGTATGTCTGCCATGGCAGCAACAAAGCAGCTGGAAAGACGCAGATAAAGCGAAAGCAAAGGAACAGGGCAGAGACTAAGCAAAGAGGCAAAATGAGAGAGAGAGAGAGAGAGAGAGAGAGAGAGAGAGAGAGAGAATCAGTCAGTTCCAATTTAGCTATGATTTTCATGATGAAATGAACGTGCTATCACATTTTCACATGCACGCACACTCACAAACACGTTAACCAAGAACAAAGCCTTGAAATAGATGCAGATATCAAAATCCCCACAGGAGACCTGGGCTATTTTTACCAACTCAGATGATGGCTCATGAATGCATAATTCATACATGCCCTGCTTTAATACAGCTACACAGTACTGTACCAAATGCACAAATACTGCTTTAATACATGCAAACACGCAACCGCGAGAGATTGTTGCAGTATGCATCGTATACTGTCAATCACACCAACACAAAATACTGTCGCTCATTGTTGTTGCCATTTTAAAGAAAAGCATTAAACTGAAAGTGAGTGACTTACCATATTAAGGAATATTCCTGGTCTCATGTGAGTGAGTCTGTCTGTCTGTCAGTCTGTGCTGTGTTGTACTTATAGAGTACATTACTCTATAAAATACATCCGACAAGGTCTTGTTCTGTTTGTTTATGTTTTTGTTGCTTTTCTAGCCCAAAGCCCTGAAACTGCTGGGGATGGAGGTGAGTGTTGATCTCATCAAGGTTGTTATTTAGTCATTCCTTCACTGTTCCTCTCTCTCGTCTAAAGCACTTTTCCCTCATAACGTGTTGAGTGTATAGTCAGTCCACAGAATCTTTTCAGCAAAATAGTTGTTTGTGTGTGTGCCGTGTGCCTTGCAGTCTTTGAAATGAAGACCTTGAGGAATATTTAATTAATTTTGCTGGCAATGTGTTTTCTTTTTCTTTTGAGCCAGTTCAAGGCTCAGTGTAAAACACAATTATTCATACTTTTCACGCTAGCTTGTAGAAAGTTATTTTCATTTTTCAGATTTATGAAATGAAAAAAAACAAAGATGTGCTTAACTGTGTAATGCTCTAGACAGTATAAATGTATATAATTCTTATTATACATGTCAGAGCAGCCTGGTTACATTTAACTGAATAGGTAATGACCGACCTAACAGGATTACATAATACATGGTTTGTGTACTTACATGTATCCGTGGTGTACACACCATGACGTATCCACATCATAAAGCTTTTAACACAGCATGTGTCTACAGTTTTCTCAGAGGTATTTATATCTAACGTGCATGGCTGTCCATTCCTTTGTATGTCTGCCTGTTTGAAATCCATCTCATGTCAGTGTGTGTTCTCTCTTTGTTTGTGTCTGTTAAAGTTTTTCCCTTAATGTCTTGCTTTCTTTTTGAAAGAAAGCAAGACAGCCCGGCCATGAAACAGAATATGTAAAATGTTCTGCTGTTAACCTTGGACACTTCTGATTGTTGAAGATATAAGTTTGTGGTGCTGCAGTCATTTCTAAATATCCATAAAATCACAAACTTACTCTTTAACAGTGTCACTATTCCCATATCTTTCTATGTAGAAATTCTACAGCCACCGAAGGCCAATTCTCAGAACTCTGTAATTGATCAACCATCAGTAGTCCACAGTTGTTATAATGTGAAATTATTGGAGATCAATGCCACCATGCTGACATGCCATTTAGACATTAACTGGCAGTGTCAGTCTCAGGGAGACAACCTGGATACACTGAGGACTTCACCTCTGGTGGAGTTATTTTTTTACTCAAAATTAAAGAAAAAGTATAAAAAGAGAGACAAAATGTAATTCTATGAAAATATTTTATTGAGAAGTGTATGAGATCAAGCCTGTTATGTGTAGTTTGTGTGTAGCACTTTGTCTTTTCACCTGTGTCCTCCAAAGTCTGATTTTGCCTCTGCATTCAACTAACTTTCATCATGTAGAGGGTGAGCAATTTTAGAAAAAGCATTATAAAAATCTTTGCTGGCTGATATGACCCCACTAGACATGTGCCTTATGTGGCCAAATACAAGGCCAGTCCTTCAGACATAAAGTTATGAGTACGATCCAGATTCTTGGGTTTCCATGTAATTTCTATTTAGAACCCAAGCTTCGACTGAGTACATTAATAAATAGTTCAGAGTCAACCTAAAACACTAACGATGACCCGTTTATGGCAATAAATATTATCCATAACAAGTCACCGCAAAATATATCTATCTACATAGCTGTCTCTCTCTTACCACCCTACTCACTTGCTATGGATCCCAACCAGGATGACATGCCCATCCGCAGAGGTCGCCAGAAGACGACACGTAAACGAGAGGAGGAAGTGGACATCGATTTGGACGACCCCGAAATTAACCATTTCCCTTTCCCCTTCCATGAGCTTATGGTGTGGGCCGTGCTCATGAAACGTCAGAAGATGGCACTGTTCTTTTGGCAGCATGGCGAAGAGGCCATGGCGAAGGCCTTGGTAGCATGTAAGCTTTGTAAGGCCATGGCGCATGAAGCCTCTGAAAACGACATGGTGGATGACATCTCCCAGGAACTAAACCACAACTCCAGGTGGGTGACACACATTATGTACACACACACATAGCCATCTTTGCTTGTGTGGTTTTAAACGCCATACTTCAATATCATGTGATCCTGTAGAGCTGAGCAAGACTTTTCTCATGGAAATGTTTCTGCACTAAATGATTAATGCAAAGTTGAGTGGAGAGTCTAGACGGGAACATCTACCTCCACAGTCTAGTGTATATGGCCAGATATACACAGACAAACACACTAATAGGCATCCATCCCTGCAAACTGACCTGTTTCAGACCACCAGGCTCCCATGGGATGAAAGTGACATAGATACAGAAATCTATTAACATGCATCATCGTTAGTTAAGGATATGCATTTGAGATGAAGGTAATCACCTAGAGATGAAAAAGCTGGCTATGGAAATGACTGGTAATTAGGGGAAAAGTTTTCAGATACTACAAATGAAGCACAGCCACGCCCCAATGCCCCGCACACATTCACAGTTTCAAAGGAGAGCCGCAGCTGGCGTATTTTGAGTTCACTTTCCACAGAGAATTTGTCTGGCTTCCTTCAAAAAACTCCTTTAACTACATAAATTTTTTTATCTTTGTGTAATCTATGTAATTTGTGGTTACGGTGTTTGTGAATGCGTTTTTGTGAGTGTGTGTGTGTATGTAGAAACTCAAGGGAACTTATTATTTATAATTTACATATAGTAATGCCTAAATTCTGTGGGGAGTTATTCTTACTTTCCGAGGCGCTTGCAAATAAGCTGTGTAAATATTGTTGGCATATTCAACTTTTATATTTCATGATATATCATATACTATAATTTATTTGTCTGTTCACACAACACTGCTGAAATGTGTCATGTGCTGCATTGCGAGCCCGTGTTTGAAAAATTCTTTCAAAGCCCAGCAGTGTTGGTGCCTTGTTTAAACATTAAACTACACAGAACAGATTGCTTTCCAGTTTAGTGTGCAATATTGTACTCTAATTTGTAAGTGTATGTGTGTCTGTGTCAAACAAAGTCCTTTCAGAGGCTCAAATTAGAGGGAAACTTGATCTTAAAGTATTGATTTATGTTTCTTTTGTCTGGAGAGGGACATATTAGGTTTATGTTTGTTTGCACTTCTGAGTATTTGTATGGTTGTGTTTACTGCCTGTGTGTGTGTGCGTGTGTGTGTGTGTGTGTGTGTGTGTGTGTGTGTGTGTTGGTGTGTGTGTGTGTGTGTGTGTTGACCATATTACATTCCCATATATAGAAATTGTTTTCATATTTTAGCCTCATTTCTCAAAGAAATATTTCATATTAGCTCTGTCGTTCTGTAATCATAACTTTGAAATCTGCACACAGAATTTCTTGTTCCACATGCAGTATACAAACATTATAAACTTGAACCCTTTCACCTTGGAAAAGATACAGACTTAATTACCAGTGAGATTTGGGCCCCCTTTGCTGTGTACACATGTGTGTGCATCTACTAAAGAAATTAGATATGCTTGTCATGTGAGGCCTTGACCATGCCTGTGTGCTTTGTTTATACACAAAATGGAGTATCTGTGTGTATGTGTACAAGTGTTTGTGTGCAAATTTAATCTCTTTCTGAATTTGGCCAGACGGTCAGTGATTCCTTGACCAGTTTAACTAAATTTTTACACGTTTGGACAAAGTGTATTACTGTCTCTGTGTCTATGTATATGCCCTGCATATAATTTCCCAGGGAGTTTGCTCAGCTGGCAGTGGAACTCCTAGACCAGTCCTATAAACAGGACGAGCAGATGGCCATGAAGCTGCTGACGTACGAACTGAAGAACTGGAGCAACGCCACCTGCCTGCAGCTGGCGGTAGCAGCCAAACACAGAGATTTCATCGCTCACACGTGCAGTCAGATGCTGCTGACCGACATGTGGATGGGACGCCTGCGCATGCGCAAGAACTCAGGCCTGAAGGTAATATAAGTGGGCCAGATGTTTGGGATAACCTGTGGGTAAAGAAAAGTGTACTTACATTAAATAAGATGTCTGTGCATCTCACAGTGACTGTAGGCTTTGATGTTAAGAGAGGCATGGCTGCACTGGAATGCTTAAATCCCCTCAGACTGCCTGAGAAAAGTTGAATTGAGGAAGTAATGAGAAACCCTCTCACCTCCCTCAGAAACTACAAAAGAGGTGGCTGAAATCGCTCCTGTGGATCTGCTGAGTGGCAATGCTAAGTGGATAGTGGTTGTGCTGTACATGACAACTACCAGGTGTGATGTGTGGAAATGTAGAGATCTGAAGCAGAAAGAATTGCTGAGTACCTTACTATAGACAGTGTCTGAAAAATGTAAGTTGCTTTGGACATACTTTACCTTAATGATTAGCAGAGGCCATCCAGTATTACCTTATTACAAATACATCAGTGTACATGTACAGTATCAGTGTGTATGTTGACGGATAAGTTTAAGTTTATGGTCTTTAAATGTATATGACCCAAACTTGAGAAAAGGGGCTTTTATTCAAACAAAGTTCTAGTAATGAGGAATTAACAAACTAAAACTGGAACCACATTAGTATGGCTGGTTATAACTGTGGTTTGGCCGTGATGACTCATTCCCTGTAATGTGGAGAGCACTGGACTGTGAAAAGTAGACAGGTCACCACTGAAAGTTCAAAAATGTTATCTTGTGGGAGCACAGGACTCAACAGACCCACCTCCCAATGCAGCAAAGTTGATGTGTTTACAATTACATCATGTAAAACTTAGATTTTTCTCTCTGGATTCTAGACAAATCTAAATCCTGTAGTTTAGTAATAACTAATGAAAGTTGTCAAGTATCTGGAGTATTTATGTATGGGAAAGGGGTTTTATTTGACAGTAATACTTTGCAGAAACATTAGTGTGATGAGTGTTTGGGCTAGGTGGCCCTCCTGGTCGATCTTCAGCCTTCATTAGTATAAGCCCTCAAAGTATTCTGTTAAGCCAGAGGGGACAGAAGAACTGACCTTAATTACTTAAAAACCTTGAAATTGTGTCCCACATATTTCACATTGAGGCTTATGTGGTGAACATCCTTTTGAGTCAAGGGGAGAGGTTTCAGTTAAGACTGGTGGTTGAGTTGTGTGCAATTTTTGCTCATGGGTTTTCCAGACGTCTGGTGGAAGGGTGATAGGAGGCAGCTGCTCAGATCAGAGAGGTTAGAGTTATTTATAATGAAAAGTTGCCCTGGGAGTTGCTGAAGGGACTGCTGGGTTCCCACTCATTCATACACAGAGTGAGACAGGATGATGGGTCTAGCGGAGCAGGGCAGAATACAAGTGCTTTAAGTATGGTTTGGCCTTTGCAGGAGGGAGGGAGAGAGTGCACTGCTAAGGCAAGCTCACTGGAGCAGAAAGACACAGAAAGACAGAAAGGAAACCACAAGTGGAACAAACAAGCTTCGGTGCCCCCAGGAGTTCATGATATACAGCAAATAACATTGTCAAAATGTTGTGTCAAAATAATTGTGTACGTTTTTGAGTTGCTATAGTTGTGAGGGCAACACTCTAAGTCATATTAGAATATGGTTACTGGAGGCTACATGTTTACTGTGAATAGCAAAAGATGAGTACATTGATTTCTTCACAGTCTGACAAACTATTGATATCTTTGCTTTCAACCCCTTGACATGACTGATGACAACAGAACCTGATACATCACTTTCTGCGCTGTGGTTATGATTGTATTTCTCACTGGTTACTACCTCCGTTCTGTCCTCCTGAAACTATCCTTTTCCAATATTCAATCATTTTGTCAAGTCATCTGACTTTACTGGCAGTTTACTGACTGACTGTTAATAAATTATAACATTAACTGCCAATAACTCTTTAGAAAGTAATGTAAAGTAAACTTAAATTTCAGTTTCAGCCAGTAGTCAATGCAATGAAAATATATTTCACTCTTAAATTAAAGACAGCTGCTTCTGAGATAAGAAGACACTTAATTATACCACTCTACATCTTCTTCTCTTTTTCTTGTACTTCACCTTTCTACTGTGGTAACAGCCTCACTCGTGCTTTTCTTGTTTGACTGGTATGTATCTGAAGTGTTTACAGCACGCCTGCTTCTTTTATCTGCTGCGGGTATTTGTCGCTCTCATCCATCGTGGCAGCGCAGTACCCTTGCTGCCTGTCTGGACTAATGCTTTTGTAATTGACTTCCACAATGAGAACCCTCGCCTCGTCTGTCGCAAATACCAAAGCTTTGTCATTCAGCCATGCTCAGGCCGAGGCATGACGGGAATGTGTTCAAAATGGTAAATTTATATTATGTGAGTTTCACATGTCTGTGTCGCAGACCGATTATGGAGGTTGCTTTGTTCCAGACTCTCCCTGTCCTAATTTCCGCTGTGCTGTTCATGAAACTGTACATCTTTATCACATCTGTCACTTCCAGCTCTTCTCAATAACTTTTGTCCTCCTCCACCTCCACTTCCCATCTTCCTCATCACCCAGGTAATCTTAGGGCTGCTTCTGCCACCGTCCATCCTGAGCCTAGAGTTCAAGAACAAGGACGAGATGTCCTACATGCCCCAGGATCAGGAGGCCTACCTGCAGGAGAAGGAGGAGGAGGAGCCTGAGAAACCAGTCAAGGAGAAGGAGGAGGAAGACATGGAGTTCACAGTAAGATCTTACTGTGAGACGCAGTACAACTCCGTGGTGAGAGAACCCACCTCAGCCCCGCATCTCAGAATTTATACACATACTCAAACTTTAGACAATTTACAGATGTTTTGTTCAGATTATAAAACTGATCATTGAACACATAGCCCAGATTATGTGTCCTTTGTAAATATCTCTTGTGGAACAGTTTTATATAATGTTGTTTCTGTCCACAATGAGATGTCGATATGCACACACGTACACACACAGTTTTCTACACACACATACTTGTTTCCCTATTCTGGCCAACTGGACCCTTTCAGCCAAATCGGCCTTTCCTGTTTCTCGTCGTCTCAGCAAAGACATGGTCTTGGAGTTGTAGCGTCTCAGTCTGTCGCCGCTTGTGGGTTCCCTCGTGTATGTTTCTTCTTCCATCTATCTCCTTCCCTATTTCTCTCTGCTTTTCCTTTGGTCCCTCTTGTTCTCCTCCCGGCTCTCTCTCTCTGCTTTACTTCCTTTGTTTCTTTATTTCTTTTGCTTTCAACTCCCTCTCTCTCTAGCTCTTTCTCTCTTTCTCCCTCTCTCCAAGCTCAGTTCTGATTGAGGTACAGTACTGTATGCTAGCCGATTGCTGCCCCTCACTCTCTCCCATCGTGATGATGGCTTGCTGCAGCATACCACTCAGCATGTCGGCTGCTGAGCATGGGAGGTCCAGGCTTTTGCATTATATAACCATGTCCGCCTGCTGCGGCAGAGCTGAAATCATGCAGAGTCTGAGCACCTTCTCCCGGCTCACAGTGGAAGAGTTGGTCCATCTGCATAGACATGGATGTACAGCAGAATTAGGACTCATTCCATTTCAATCCAATCAATTCTGGAGATGATACCAGGACTTAGTTTGTGTGTTGAAATCAAGACTAGAATTTGGAAAGGCTATTTTAATACACAAACTGAATCTAAGGCTGTCCCACTGAGGGATTGAACTGGACTTGAATGCCTGACTGCACCACTGTACATACTCTCCATCTGCATTTAGCACAGCCAGCAAGCCAGCGCAAGATTCACACAACGGGCCATTTTTCACATGCAGTCCTTGAGGCACTGTGGTGTTAACCAAAGAATCCTGCTGCCAGAGGATGCATTTGCAATGAGCCCTCTCTATTGCCCTGGCTTCTGACTGTACAAATGCACCCTCAGATACTTATGAATCACACAAAGATTCATACAGATATACACAGACTGCTACACCACAGAGGGAGATTGTATTGTCCTATTCTCAGCTGCTTTAGATAAACCACACTGTGATGAATGTTATAGTTTGTGTGAAAGCTTGTGTCCACTTTCTGATCAGATTATGTGCATGTTCAGTCTCTAAAGGCATGGTGTGATTTACACACTGGCATCTGAATCTGTTCACCCTGAAGGCCCTGCCTGTGTGTGCCTCGGACAAAACTTTGGCTGTATATGATTCCCATATTTGGAAAAAATAGAAATCCCTTGATTCCTTACTTATGGCGATTTCTTAGAAATGGTTTTATCACTGTTGCGCATATTCAGTCGCCTGGGAACGTAACCAACTACTCATCATGTATTTCAGATACTTGGTCAGATTCTATCCTTGCCCAGATCTGCTATGCTGCCCTACAAAGACAGAGCACAGTAACTACAGAAGCAGTGAAGTTGAGAAAAAAGATTGAGAAGTTTTCAAACTGGACAGCAAACTATAAAACACGGTTGTAATACTAGTCTTTTTCTTACTTTACCTGAAAAATAATTTCCATAGCCTCAGCACAATACTTACAAAATGCAAATACCTTTGGATGAACTCAACTGAATACTCATGGAAATGTGTTGTCTCAGCTTTCTTATCCATTTTAACTAGAAAATGTACTTTCATTTGATTCTTATTTAATCCATAGCTTATTGGAATAAGTGTTGAGTTAGAGGGTTTCAGTTTGTCACAGTCTGCAACTTCACTCCTAAATACTACACACTGGTCCTTTAATACATGTTTGTCAACATGATACATGAATTTACAATTTTAATACATTTAAGTATGTGATTTAGTGGTAGCTTAACCACAAATTTACATAAAATTCACTAGAGTCAAATAATGAGATGTCAGCTGCTGAGATCTGCTAAGGTAGCTACCTTTAGAAGGAGTTTAGCTGTTTTTTCCCTTCTGTTTTCATGAATTGATTTTAACTGAATAATCAAAGTTTTCAGAAATTCAAATGTTTATTTTCATTCACAGATTAAAAACTATGGGGAAATTAATAACTGAACTTCTATCCTACAAGCTAGCTTTCACTTGATATAGCCCTCTTACTTTAGCTGTCTAGGTCGCTGTCTTTCTATGGCTTCTATGGAGACTGCAGGGAGTGCAATAACGAGTCCTACAGCACACAGATTTTAAGTAATTTAAAAAGCTTTCACAGAAATTACGTATTACTATGGCATAATATAGTTTAATTAAATAAAACCGATGTCAGAAAGTCAGATAGAGGTTATAACTCAATTTTGCCCAAATATGTAGTTTGCATTTTGCCTTTGTAGGGCAGTAGGCCATACTTCTTGACATACAATACAATTCCATGAATTAACTCCCTCATAGGTCTGGTGTTGCTTTGACATTAAGACCATGACACCATAAAAACAGAGGGCTCCGTACCATCTCTCATGCATAAGGAAATGTGTCACAGATTTAAATGAGATATCTGTGTCTTATCTTTTTCCTTTTTTCTGTTTCTGTCTTCTTTCTGTCATTATCTTACCTCTCTTCTGTCTCTTAATTGTTGTCTGAGACACAATCCATGAGTGTCTGTGTCTGCGTCATACTGTGTTACCAGCCTTCACCCAACACTCCACCTCAAACACACATTTCACATTTTGGAATGATGACATTGCCTGTGCTTGCTTCTTTTATTATGATATTAAAACTGTGCAGTAGCCATAATGTAACCCTCTCCCCCTTCTCCTCTTTTCCCCTTTTTTCTTTCTGTTATTCGACTCTTCCCATCCCACCTCCTTCCTTCCGCGTACTGTCTCCATCTCCATCCTCTGTCTGAATTTCCCCCACTCTCTCCATCCTTTTATCCCTCACACCTTTTAATTCCTCCCTCGCTCGATGTGGGGTGTACATTCCCCCAGGCAATGCTGGGAAAGGTAACTACAGAGACATCCAGAAAGAAGGATGTTGACGAGGTTCAAAACCGCCACCGCCTCATCCCGTTGGGACGCAAAATATACGAGTTCTACAACGCTCCAATTGTCAAGTTCTGGTTCCATACGGTCAGTGTCAGCTTCAGCAACTCCACCTACATAATCTCGGCTTCCTGCTGGCACTGTCATTGCTTACTGTATTTCTGCCATAGCATCAATTCCTTGTTCCCTGCCGTTAGCTTCTACTGCCACAGTGCCTCTGTTGTCATTAAGTCGCTGTTCCACCCTGTCATTACCCAGCTTTACTGGGGTGTGAAAGTTTAGTGTGAAAGAGATGGGGAGAGTGATGGGAGCAACATGGTGAGAAAAGTACAGGCGAGTGAGGGAGAGAAAGGGATTGAAGAACAAACAAGGAGGTCTTCACAGTGTAAACACACACTGAAACCTCTCAGTTATGCCCCTGTGCCATAATTCATATATTACCATATTGAAATATTACATTAAGTAAATATTATTTGATTTAAAGTTTAGTTTTAAAATGTTTACACGTGTGGGAAAGTATGTGTTTGTATGCGTGTCTTTACTGTTTTCTATACGGCACTGTTCATCTAGATTCTCTTTTAAGTCTGTGTACAGCTTGTGTTTTGTACAGTATCTGCCTCTGAGCGTGTGTGTAATGTTTGGTATAAGCTGATCTTTTGTTTCCCATACACCATCTTGGGCTCCTTCAGTTTGCTTGCCCAGTGAAAACATCTCTTTACATCACCAGCACGGATTTCACTGTTTATTTATGCTGAGAAAATGTTTCAGCTCCCTTTTGTTTCATCCTATTTTCTCTTCTCTGGCGATTTACCCCCCTCTTCTCCCTCTTCACTGCTCCTCCTTGCCCTTCAGGTTAAAGAAAAACATTCTACTGTGAATGTCATTATTGCTCTCCTAAAACAGATGCTGGATTTTCTTAGGGTCAATTTGTGGACTTTACCTCATTACCAGATCCGCTGTAGAGCACTGCCCTGTTTATAATAATATCAGTCAAACTTATAATACAGACTAACTGTGCATGTGGGACTGAAAGGTCCAGTGTGTAACATTCAGGGGGATCTATTATCAGAAATGGAATACAATATTTATAGGTATGTTTTCATTAGTGTATAATCACCTGAAAATAGCGTTGTGTTTTCATTATCTTATAATGAGACGTTTTTTGTCTACAGGGTGAGCTTTTATGGAGGTCACCATGTTGAACCACCATGTTTTTTACAGTAGCCCAGAACAGACAAACCAAACACTGAGCTCTAGATGAAGCCTTTGTTTTTGCAGTCACCGTAGTTACTCCTACACACTTGGAAGGCAAGCTGTATTCAAATGCCGCTAAATGCCAATATATCCTATACACTGGTCCATGAATGACAATCTTGGTCACACAATATTAAAAATCACTTTAGCTGCTTACATCACTGGAATTCCTGATTCAATCATGGACTACAAGCGTAACCATCCCCAGTGTGTTGTAGTTTATTGAATCTATAATTTAAATATGTTAAAGCTATTCGTATTGTTTCAAATGTAAAAGTAGAAATAGTTAACGATTTTGCATTACATTTGTGCAGTATAAGTCCTCTCCAAGGATATTGGATCATTAATCGTTGAATAAAAAATGTCAAATATATGATTGTAATCCAGTAGTGTCAGGACCTGTGAATAAGGAAAACACAATTGATTTTTAATACATTTCTGCCAGGTCCTCCAGGCCTAATCTTTAGATAGTGAGACTTGCATTGTGATATTGATATTGCATTGTAGCTTGGGAGCCCTGGTAGCTCAACTGGTACAGCATTTACCATGTATTGAGGCTGAATCCTTACCACAGTGGCCCAGGTTCAATTCCAGCCCTGCGTCTTAGCTGCAGGTCATCCCTTTTCTCTCTCCCCTGCCTTTCCTGTCTTCTCTAGCTGTCACTATCTAAATAAAGCAGAAATACCAAACAATAATCGTAAAAAAAAAACATGGCTTTCATTGTGATTAAAACTGTATCTTTTCTGCATCGTGATGAGCCACAGTGCACAAAGAAGCGCAGGAAAAATTGAAGTGGACAGCTGACATCTATTTAAATAGATACTGTAGAGCCATGGGAGACACATAATGGACATTTTCAGGCCAATTGTGGAGGTGCTGCAATCAAGTATCCTGATATTAAATCTCTATTATCAGATCTGAAAATCTACTTGAAAGGGAGGTGTAATGAGAGTCAATCATTCACCGAATAACTATTTAATTTTAACAGTTTCACACAAAAAACATTTTCCCAGTAGCCCTTTGAGCCAGTTGCAGAAAGAGAATTGAACTTTATTGATGTGCAGTTTGCTAATATTGGAAAAGCACACAAGCACATAGCCAAACATGTGTCCCTGCTGATTTCCCTCTGCTGTTGTGTTTTTACGTAGATGGCGTACGTGGGCTACCTGATGTTGTTCAACTACATTGTCTTGGTCAAGATGGACCTGTGGCCCTCTCCTCAAGAGTGGATCGTCATTGCTTACATCTTCACCAACGGCATTGAGAAGATGAGAGAGGTACCACAGATCCCTAAGCTGTGGCTACATGCAAATGTGCACCATGCACAACTATAGTGAAGACACAATAATCAATTATTCACCACTACCCAGTGTACCGAATACACAAAGCTCATCAACCTTAATGTTGGCTATAGTTTAATTCAGTGAGTTCTGTGGTAAAGGGCAGAGGCTAAACATTATGTCTATATCACCAAACAGCTCATAATAAATAGGAAAAACTGTGATCATTGGAGGGGAAGCAAAGGAAAGAGTCATGGGGAAAGGGAAATGAAGATATGAGACGAATGGGAAAGTAAAGAAAGAAAAAGACTAAATAGAAAATGCGATATGTGGCCATATGAGACTATCTAGTTCAGCCTCACTCTGTGGCTGTGTTTGTACTGTAAGTCTATGAAATGCATTAATCATTATGTCACATCATTCTCAGCTGCACAACAATGCCTCCTCAGACATCTGCTAGATGCCCTGATTGGTGAACTCATACTGCCCTCTTATGGTGGTCATGTTATAATGCATTTCTATTTTTCTGCTCTTCTATCTTAATCAGTTTTCAGGCTCACTTTTCCCTTCAGTTCCTACATTTATTGACAAATCTTTCCATCAGTCCTGCATTTGAGCATTCTCAGCTTCCTTTCCTTTTCTCAACTAATTTCCGTCTTCCAGATCCTGATGTCAGAGCCGGGGAAGTTGTTACAGAAGGTGAAGGTGTGGCTTCAGGAGTACTGGAACATCACAGACCTCATGGCCATCCTCATATTCTCCGTTGGCATGGTTCTGCGTCTCCAGGAGCCACCACTCATGAGCTACGGGCGGGTCATCTATTGCGTCAACATCATCTATTGGTACATTCGGCTGCTGGACATCTTTGGGGTCAACAAGTACCTCGGTCCCTATGTGATGATGATTGGCAAGATGGTGAGAAGAGGCACGGGTGGTGATGATGATGATGATGATGATGATGATGTGTGTGCGTGCATGTATGTGTGTATATGTGTGTGTGTGTGTGTGTGTGTGTGTGTGTGTGTGTGCGTGTGTGTGAGTGTATGAATTTTCTTTTTTTATCTACAGTATTTCTCATTCTCTCTCCATTATGTATTCTTTATTGATGTCGGACCTTTTCAGCCTTCTGACCTTACTTAGCATGATCCATACTGATTATTAGAGTTCACAGAGACCCAGTGAGGACACCGGGACTCTGGATCATTACAAAGGTTTCATTTGTATGTGGTGTGCAGGCTTGGTCCTAATAGAGCTTCTGTGCCTCTAAACCTCATTGTTTGATCTCAACGAGCACAAGATCACAGCCTCTGATACATACATGTAGACAAAACTAAAGAAGGGATCAAAGACCTAAATCTGTATCTGTCTGATGTGTGCCTGTCTTTGACATGGGCTATGGATCACTTGATGCAAAATCTCTTTGATATTAAAATCAGTAATTAGAGAGAAAAAACTATTATTATAATGATTTTTCTGTCAAATTGGTATGCACTTCTTGATTTTGAGTAATAATAATTACAGTATAGCTTTCATTTGGCTTTTAAAGATCCAGTGTGTAGGATTTAGTAGCATCTAGGAGTAACTAACTGAATACCGCTCGCGTCTTTATTTGATGACCTGGGAATGAGAACAGGCTGTGAAGTGTGTAGTAGAAACTATGGTGTCTGCAAAACTTATGAAAAAAGTGAAATGCCCTATCTACAGCCAGTGCTTGGTTTGTCCGTTCTGGGTTATTATAGAAACATGAAAACATGCCTATGTATATATATAATATTAAATTACATTTCTGCAAATAGTATCCTCCTAAATTTTACACACTGGACCTTTAAATGCGACTGTTACTATAACTATGACTCTTAGATGTGTTCCAGCTTTCTAAAAAGACAATGAATGGCAGCCTTGATCAAAAAATACACAGGCTAGTGGAATATAAATTACCCCAGAGGAAATATTTCCCCCACTTCAGCTCTGTAACTTCCTTAATCCATCTGGGATTAACCTAAATTAAGTGCATTTTAAATATTGAGTTTAGGTTTCATTCCAGAGCTAATTAAATTGAAGTTTCAGGATCAACCAAGGCTTTGAGAGTTATAATAATCAAGTGCAAATGCAGGCCATCATTCATCAAACTTTTAAGCTGCTTCTCCAGCTCCCCTCCGGTTCTCTTGTTTTGCCTCATTACTGCTTTCTTTACTTAATTCATTTCTTCTCGCTTTATCATCGTACAAACATTCTTACCAACTGCTCCCCATTTTTTTCTCTTCTCAAACCACTCACCCCTTCCCTTCTCTCTTTGACAATCCTCCTCTACCCCCCTCCCCCTTCCCTCTGTCAGATGATCGACATGATGTATTTTGTGATCATCATGTTGGTGGTGCTGATGAGTTTTGGGGTGGCACGTCAGGCCATCCTCCACCCTAATGAAGACCCGTCCTGGATGCTAGCTAGGAACATCTTCTTCATGCCTTACTGGATGATCTACGGAGAGGTGTTTGCTGACCAGATTGACCGTAAGTTCAGGGCCAGTGTCAGAGATTTTGAATAAACTTAATTTTTGTTACTTCAGGGGAGAATAGTTCCTGACTCTGAAGACAGATGCAAGTAATGTAACCAAATACGCACCTATCTCAGTGCAGAATTACATTTAATTTTCATTCCTTCACAGGTTAATATATTACTGGAAGACGTCCTTTTATAAAACATACATATTAAAACACTCTACTACAATACAAATTACATCATATTGAGTATAAGGAAATTTTGTATCACCATATCTGCATAATCTTTCTGTCAAGTTACTCGACTTCTTACATCAGGACATACATTTGTCAGTTTGTCTTGATCTTTTCTGTCTCTACATTATTTTATACCATGTAGACATTTGATAATCAATCAATAAATCAAACATAGACTGTGAGCAGTGTCTGAGAAAATGTCTTGAGAGTGAGAGTGCATTCGTGTGCTGTTCTGTTGTCTTTCTGTATGGTAGTGTATATGATGGTGTGTACAGAATGTGAGGAGTGGCCCAAAGAGAAGAGATCTGAAATAATGTTTTCATTCTTTGTTTCAGATATGCATAGTAGGAAGTTACAGCACAGGCTGAATGAAAAACTCTGGCTGGTCGAAAATTACTTTCGAACTCACGGAAGCTGGCGTAGTAACGGTCCATTCCACATTTCGCAGTGCAGTCAAACTCCCAGTAAATCAATAGATATAGACTTCAATTTAACCACATCACCTCTCCTTCATCATCCTCACATTACCACCATGTCATGCCCACTCCTACCACTAGAGGCCACTTGAGACAAAAGTGTGCATGCGGCTCCACACGCTTTAAGGTTAAAGTTGCCATCATGTGTTTTTGGTATCTTGGGTCAGCTACTGTATCTAAACAGCATTTTCTTTAAATACTTGTTTAACAGAGTTTAAGGAGTATGACGGCTTGATTCAGTGAGACTGCCTATTTTCTCCACATCTTTGAATGACAAACAAGTAGCTTGACCCAAGGTTATAGCTTGAAAGCAACTTTACCCTTACTAATTTTGGCACTTGCTGGCAAATGGCACTGTTACATGGCAGTAGCACTTTTCAAATGTGTTTATTATGGTCTTTGTTTTTTGGACAGTTGTCACATCAAGAGGAACTATCAAAGTTTAAAAAGTTTGATATTCCCTTGATGTTTCTTCCACATATTTTGTTCCTTGACTTTCAATTAGTTTCATTTGAAGAAGTGACCCTGCCATGTCAATACCGTCTGTCACCTAAACCATATCACCCTCCCTTTACGCCGGCTCAGCTTCTCACTGGAGCAATTGCAACATGATATTTCTACCAATACAGCCAACATTTAACATAAGTAAGCACTGAATTACATATGTATACCACACCATACAGGAAGAAAATACAAACATACACAAATCCACACTAGAATATATGAGTCAGCCACCTTTCATCATCTTCAATCTGTTTTTTCACGTGGTTCAGTTGTCAGAGTTTTTGATCCAAATTTTTTGAAGGTAAAAATGAAAACAAAATAGAAAAATTACTTCAGTTCTCTGTCTTTGGGCTGCATTGTGTGAAACAATTGAACATCAAGCAACGATGAGCATGACTAGAATGAATCTCAAAGGCAAACAAACCAAGAACAAATGCTGAATGTTCCCCAGATAAGTCACAGCAACTGAACCATCACAGATGGAAAAAACATACTATGTATCCTAAATACATTTCAAATGATTCAAAGCAATCAACCATTGCTGAATGAAGCTATGGCACACATATGTGACAATATATTTCAAACATCAACTACATGTTTAAATATATTGGGAACACGAATTGTGACGAGACATGATGAATGCATTTTTTTTGTGTATTTTGTTTTAAGATGCACATTTCTGAACATGAGCCCCTACCATTATAGTGTCCACTCTTTCCAGTCCCCTCTTTAAGAAGCATAAAGATAAATTATGCTTCTTGTTTGTTTGCAAACTATATAGTTATGCATTTTGTTTGGTATTTTCAGGTCTGCTTGTCTCTTTGTTTGTTGTTGTCTTGTAACTCTGTGTACAGTATGTGCTTGAATGTTTTATGTTTTTTTATTTTAAGTTGCTTAAATTAAAAAACATTTTTTTTTACTATATATTGCATCTTCTGTTTATGTTATGCGTCTGCATGTCTTTCAAATTTGTTGTGCATCTACAAATTTCTACTACAGTGTTATTCATGATGGATTCAAGTCTCTATCTACAAACATAGTTAACGTTGTATTAACTTGTATGTGTTTGTTTGTTATGTGGCGGTGTGCAGCCCCCTGTGGGCAGAACATCACTACAGAGGATGGGGCGGTGGTGGCCCTGCCTCCATGTAAGACCGGGGCCTGGATTGTTCCAGCCATCATGGCCTGCTATCTGCTGGTGGCTAACATACTGCTGGTCAACCTACTCATAGCTGTGTTCAAGTACGTAAACTGAAATGATTTTAGCTCTGCTTTGCACTGCTTTACAGACATCTCAGGACACGTATTTAGGCAGTATGAGGATAGAAATTATTCCTCTCTGTCTTCCAAAACTATCACCAAACCTGTGCAGAGAAAATAGATATAACTGCCTGTGGACATTTCTTGAGGTTCATGTGTGAAGAAAAAGATAAATTACCGTAGTTTCGGTTTGGGCGACTGGTAAGCTGCACTCATTAGAGACTGCTAGCTAATTGTATTACAGAATGGGATTGTGCTTCTTCCACAGAGACATTATCATTGTAATGATCTTGTTATTATACCTCTGAATAATCCATGTAGCAAAGACGATCATCCTCTTCCTCACATTTGTCAGGATAATTACCAAAAAGTGCACAATGGGAAAAAAACTGTTAAATGAAATGCTTAATCACATTACAGCAACCATTTATAGTGTTGTCTGCTGCATTTATTTTAATCTCCATATACTCTCTGTGTCCAAACTTGGCTCTGCAGTGCAGCAGCATGTTAAGTGAAGGAACAGTTCATCAATCTGTATACTATCAGTGATGACTCACTGATGACTTGATTCAGTTTAGTTTAGCTTTCGGTGGATGTAATATTTCTTGGTTCGTGTGGCACTTCTGTCTGTCTCTGTCCGTCATCATAGTAATACATTCTTCGAAGTGAAGTCCATCTCCAACCAGGTTTGGAAGTTCCAGCGCTACCAGCTCATTATGACCTTCCATGAGCGCCCTGTCCTTCCTCCACCCCTCATCATCTTCAGTCACATAACTATGGTCCTCAAACATCTGTGTTGTCGCTGGCGCAAGCATGACGATGACGAGAGAGACTATGGACTGAGTGAGTGACAGTGTGAACAGCAGTATTTTCAGAGTTGTAATTTAAATTCACTGTAAATTAATATTTTGTTTTAGTGCTATAACATTCTTATATATTTTGCTACTATTATACTATCAACCAAACAGTTAAATATAACACTGTAGCATTAACTCTTTCATCCACAGAACTTTTCATCACAGAGGATGAGCTGAAGAAGGTTCACGACTTTGAGGAGCAATGCATAGAAGAATACTTCAGGGAGAAAGATGATCGATTCCACTCCTCTAATGATGAGAGGATCAGAGTCACTTCTGAAAGGTCAGACATATCCATACAGAAAACTTGTATGTTCATTCTACCTCAATCTTTCAGCCTGTGGAAAAGTGGTATATAAATAAGTGCAGTGCTCTGTCTACCAGGTAGACAGAGGAAGTGACAGAACCGTTATAGTGTTCATTTCATGCATTTTTCTTATTTTCTCATACGAGCTGAAAGGTTTTAAGAAACACCAATGACTGCTGTCTTTTATTTTATTTGACCACAAATAATTTGACTATGACTGCTTGTATGGGCAGCACACAGGTCAAAACCAAGTTCACATTTATCAGCAGTCTAAACCACAAGCTGTGCTGATGTTCATACCAAAGTGCATTCAGTCATTTGCGTCCGTGTTTGCAGTCAACTTCAAAATGTAGAATACTGTCTATGTTGTGATTTTTGTGTTTTCTCGGTTTGCTTTTGTCAGTGTGGTGGTGTATCTCTCTCTTTCTCCACCATTTTTCCTCCTGAGTGCTTAAATGTCTTTTCTTTCCTTCCTTCTCTATCAGGGTGGAGAATATGGCAATGCGTCTGGAGGAAGTCAATGAAAGGGAACACTTCATGAAGGCCTCACTGCAGACGGTTGACATTCGTCTGGCCCAAATGGAGGAGCTGATTGGACGAATTGCTGTAGCACTGGAGCGTGTAACAGGTGTTGAGCGTGGGGAGGTCAACAAAGTACGTTCCCGGACGTCATCTGACTGCACAGACTCAGCATACATACTCCGCCAGGGTGAATGCCCAGAGGCAGCATACATCCTCCGTCAAAGCAGCTTTAACAGCACAGAAGGGAATGCCTACCGCCTGCAGGAGGCGCTGGAGGGAACAGCGGAGGGCTCCATGTCTCCACCTTCTCCTACTGGCATGACTACACGGACAAGAAGCCACTCATTTTATGTTGGAGGTGGTCGTGGTGGTGAACGTGCAAGTGGAGCTGAACGAGCTGAGAGCTTCTTCAAAGAACGCTCACTCAGTCTTCACCGAGCCAACAGCTCCCAATCAGTATCCTCAGGTGCCGCCCCCAAGGAGTCTAAGCCCCTCCCCCTGGCGACGCTGTCGGTCTCCCAGCAGCACCGTCCATCGTCATGCATTGATATCTATGTCTCAACTTCTGAGGAGGTGGGGCCTTCGGAAGTCTTTCTGGATCCTCTCCGTGTGGTCCCACAGCTCCAGAGAGATTCCTCGCTGCAGTCAGATATCATAGAGACGGTGCTGCCGGGAGGCCGGGACTTCAGCAGCATTGCCACCAGCGGTATGGGCGACAGGCACTCGGAGGGTGGTGCAGGCAGCAGCGGAACAGCTGGAGCCATGTTTGACGACAGTGCAGCTGCTGATTTGTCATTGTGCTCGGCCCACCTCTTACCAGACACCACTTTACCTCCGTGGGACATGGAACCATCCCCACCTCCCTCAGCAGGGCTGCTCGAGCGCTCTAAGAGTAGCCGCTACCTCTCTACAACAGGCACAGCATTCCTGGATGAGCCCACTCTGGTCAAGTCCCACAGCCTGATGTTCACACCACGAGGCTGCTATAGCGGACTGGGGGCAGGAGTCCAGGTAAAAGCTGCAGAGTACACCAGCATCACTGACTGCATCGATACACGCTGTGTCTCAGCCCCATACACTCCTGCAGAACGCTCACACTCCCCCGGAGGATCCACCTCATTCCCCTTTGATAAGCCGTCAGACATTGGTTCCTCTCACCCAGAGAGAGAGGCAGAGCTTAGTCACACAGAGTCTGATCCAGAGGATCCTGAGGACCTGATTCCAGCCCCTGATACCCCTCGTCTAGGGGGCCTTAGTGGGCCCAGTGGGGCCCCTCTCTGCTCCCCCTTCTCCAGGCTGGAGCGAGCAAACAGCTGCTCCTCAGACGACTCCCATCCTTCCCTCACGCTGGCCCCTCCGCACAGGAAGAGCCTGTCGGTGAGTGAGAGGATGGAGAGGGGACCGGGTCTGGGGGCAGACAGGGGGCCTGGGCCGGGGGGCCGGGGTCTGGCAGGTACCAGAAACCCCTTCCTCAGGAGCAAGTCTGGAGCACGGCCTGAAACAGCCAAGACTGACAGCCTCTCCATGAGGAAGCTGGCCACACCGTCAGCTTTCCGCAGCTTTGATAGACAAAACTACACGTGACAAGAACACTGGTCAGCACACTCACACACTGATAGGACCAGGGAGGAATGAAGTGGCCAAGTGCAAAAGTAAATGCAGGGTGAAGTTGTCCATAGATACTGATCTGGACCAGATCTACAGTTTTTTCACTTACGTTTTAGGTTAGAAAAAGTGATACAAGTTTATTCATAGTCAGTGCTGGAGGGCAACTTTACCCTGGATCAGGAGTCAGGATGAAAAGGATGGGAGATGTAGGGGTCCTACTGTACACCAGTCAAAAACAAAGAGCTATGAATCTAGAGTAGTTTTTACCTCCTCTTGTAGCTAAGTAACTCTCAATGGGGTGTTATGGCAATGGAAGGTGTATTTGTACTGTATGTCTTCCACCCACCACCTTTATGTCAAGTAGACATCTGTCACTGTGTTACATCACATATCAATCACGTTAGTCAGAGAAAGTATACTGTTACTCCTAGCTGCATTATATGGTAGAAACTGTTAGGTCTGAGAGACAAAGAGAGGAGAAGTAAAAACAGCCACCTCATTTTGTCAATTTGTCTTCAGCATAGAGTCATTACTGTCTCAAAACTTTAAATACATTTTCCTCTTTTCATATAATACTAACTCCACTCTGTAAGATCCCAGCACTAGCAAACAGAAAGAGGCTAACGTTTCAGGCTGCTTCATATAAGAATAAATGAAGTGTTTGGAACCATCGGGAACTATTTCTCCTCTTGGTTGCACTGGAAATGATTGCAGTAACATGGCAACAACTTACCTCTCGATACACAAATACACCTTTCAAATAATGAATATTTATCTCTTTTTTTCAAAGGATTATCAAATTTGCCTTTGTCTTTGCGTTTTGTATTTATCTACAAAACTGTTTCTTTTTTTTTTTTTTTGTCAGTTCAGCTAGAAAAAGAAAGCAGTGTTTCAACATACTCCAGTCAAAAGGTCATTACTCTATCGTGTGTCTCCAGTCTTGGCTGTCAAGTAGAACAGTAAAAACTGGGTTTAATTAGCCATGTGATGAGAGTGAAAAGCTGAAAGTTATCAGGAAAAGGTGAGAAAGAAAATGTGACAGGAAGACTGAGATTAGCAGGTGACCCGCACTGAGTCGAGGCATGAATCTTTAACAGGAAAACAAAGGAAATTAGATAGAAAAGTTATATCAAGTGCATGTTCCCATTCACATGCATATTTACATGTCTGGACACACACACAGTCAGTTAATCCTTACATAATACTAGAGAATAAACTAGTTCAGACCTGATCCCTGAGAGCTTTAACAAGTGCAATTGCAAAAAATGGGGACAAGAGGGCGCTATGAGCCTATTTCAGAAGCTGAGTGAACCTGATGTGAACCTTCTTTGCCTGCTCCTGACACCAAAAATCCTTACACTTAACTAATCCTTGCTCTCTTGTAGCCCAGCCCTCCTTCTTCAGGTTTTGGCAGTGGCATTATGTTGCAATGGTTTTACATCCACCTACACTTAATGGATCCGTCCTTCATCTATTTCATGACTGTCATTCAGTTGCTTTTCTCCTTCATTATTACTATTTTTTGCATTCAAAGCCAGCCACTGCAAAAGGAGGCTTTAAAAGAAACCAATTGCCCGATGACTAAGCCCATTATAAATCATATACATAGTTCCGAGAGAAAGAACTTTGAATTTATTTTTTAAAAAAGCTTGAAATAAGCTGTCAAGTATATGCATTCTAGCTGAGATATAAGAAAGATGTGCAAGAAGTGGAGGAGGCAACGTGGGGTTATTATTATTAAAAGACATAAGCCAGATCAGTGTTTTGCAATCTCATTTTTTTTTTATTCTAATGGAAAAAGTCTGGGTGGAGGAAGATGCCCTTCTCTGATAGCTTTGTAAAGATAAGATAGGTGAAATTACTAGAATTGTTACAGATTTTTTATGTTTGTTTTATATTTCCTCACTATTACAATTCAGTTTAATCATGTTGCAATTATTTTGAGATTGATTCTATTTATTGACATTTTCTTGCTCATTATTGATAATTACAGTAAATGCCTGTTTGAATTACGAAATCAATATTTATATCTTCTCAGTGATATTTTTGTCGAATTTTAAGTATTTTCTAATTAAGCTTTTAAATTTAATAAAAGATGACCATCGACATGCACTAAATGCTGATGTATTATATTATTTATTAAATATAGAAATTGTCTGATATACTGTACATGTCAATCATATTCAAAGTATTTAAAGTAGTTTTTATTGTATGTTTTATCAAGACGCTTATGAGAATTTTCTAATGTAAAGTTGACATGGCAATACACAGTTGCCAGTATACCAAACTTAGGGTGCCTTTTGGGCATGGATGGAGTATGTGGGGACTGAAGTGAATCAGAAATCTGTGACATTTTCTTATTTTTTGTTTTTTCCTAATCATAGAGTCCAAATATCTGTGATTATTTTAACATGTGGCTTTTGCATACACTCATAGACTTTGTTGTTCTCTTTAAACAGATCTGATGTACAGAGTGGGGGGGATGTTGTTTTAAATAGACTGTATCATTGCTTGTATGGACATTTATTTGAATCCACCAAATTACATAAAAAAAGATGTCATTGAGAATAATAGTTTCATAGCTGAAGATTCAAATCTATTTGCTCATGAAATTAAGACAAGGATGAGGCTATAGCACCACCACAGGGTTGATGCTGTTGCAGTGCTGTATTGTAATGATTTAATTTTTATCATTTGATTTATCCCACAGAAGAGGCCCATTGAGTGGGCCCTCCCCAAATCTGCTTTACTCATATCAACGCATCCAGGTGGTCTCTCTTTCCTATGTAACATGATTATTGTCCCCCTAACGGCTTTGCTCCAGAAATCTTTCCCCTTTTTCTCCCCCTGTCTCTGTGTCAACCCAAACTGTTCATATGCCTACAAATCCTGACCCAAACCCTAAACCTTAAAAGCCCAGTGTGTAACATTTAGGAGGATCTATTGGCTGAAACTGAATATAATATTCATATTTATGTTTTCATTAGTGTATAATCACCTGAAAATAAGAATAGTTGTGTTTTTGTTACCTTAGAATGAGACGTTTTAATCTACAGAGGGAGCGGGTCCTCTTCTACAAGTTAGCCATGTTGTACTGCCATGTTTCTACAGCAGCCCAGAACGGACAAACCAAACACTGGGTCTAGAGAAGGTTTCACGCCTTTCACGTTTTTTCGTGGGTTCCACAGCCACCATAGTTTCTACTGCACACTTGAAAGGCGAGTGATATTCAGTTCACCGCGAGATGTCACACTGTGTACACACTGGTCCTTTAAAGGGGTAGTCTAGTGATTTAGTACTGCAACCACACAAAGTTGGAGGACTGTCTAGAGACAGATTTTTAAATTAATGTTCAAAATTGAATGAACGGAGGCTGAGATATCCTTACTTTTAGTCACCAGTATGGGTCAAGCTTCAGAAATACTGGATTCTGCATTTACCATAGTGACCTTCCCTGACTGGTAAATGCTCTCATCAAACATTATATAACTGTGTTCATAGGCTGAATTGTACTCTCCATTACCAGTAAAATCACCTTTATTTGTAAAATCTTGAGGATTACTCCTTCAAACCAGCAATTATAACACAAACATTACACATGCTCAGTGTGGGTATATACACTTAAAATACCTTCACTGAGATGTTGTAGCCCATTGGTACACATACAAACAGTTATATAGGTTCCAATATGATTTAAAGAAGAAAGGTTGACCCCAAGTCATTGCTCAGGGACAACGTTACCCCAGATGCAAGGTAGTTAATATATTATGGTGGAAAGAAAGAGGGAAATAAAAAAAGAATCAGATTTGAGTTTGTCTTCAGCAGAAGGCTTCCAATATATCACTGTGCTTTATTAGTCTAAGAGTCTTTGGGGATCGTAGGGAAACCTATATATTTTGTGCTTTATGTATTCAGAAATGGCAATAGAATATGAATGAATGTCTTCATACCTGATTGACTGACATTGTTCACCTGCAGAAGTTTAATCTCTTAACAGAACCAAACCAAACTTTGCCAAACCAAATGGAAACGATCAGAGTTGTGCTCTACTGACCTGCACAGCTGTGGCGGCCGGGGTTAACCAAGCAAAGGTCGTACAGCTCAACTCAAGTTTGCATGGCTAAGTATGAAAACAGATGACTTTGCCAGACTGAAAGTTTAGGCTCTCCTATTTGACCTACGGTGATAGGAAATAAAAATATTTTAATTTCTTCATCCTTACAGTAAGGAAGTTGAGATAACATAAATGTCCATGGCACTTCTAAGCTCGTGTGAACGTGATTCTATGAATGGTTTTGTGACATGTTGACATGGCTGTTGTGGAGGGTATCGCTAGGAGGTGTACATGTGTGTGTATGTGTGTGTACATTTACTGCGTGTGAGTCCAGAGATGTAGATGACACCAATAACAGGGAGGCATGGCAACACAACACAACCCAACAGAATCTCAATGTACAGTATTTTTTAAATATTTTCCTATACTGTATCTTACAGTTTTGTGGAATCATGAGCATATGATGATAATCAACAGATCTGCTTCCCTCCTATGACTACCTGTGACTCATAAACTAAAGAGAGTTTTACGCACATGTTTTTTCTGCAATAATTGCTGATGTTGCGCTTCTACAACTGAAAGGGATTTACCCCCCTACTGGTCACACTTTATTTAATGTCCTTCAAATGCATGCAGTTCTTCCACTCAGAGTGTACAGAGATGACCTGTAAAGATGACTGAGAGAAAGATAGAGAGAGATTATAATATGAAATCAAAGTAGTGAGTATTTGGATGCAAATACAAATCTGTATTCTTCAATGTGAATAGGATCATGTCTGGCATGCATTGTTAAATAAAAAAAATAAATAGATTGGTACTATGTGTCTCGCCTGCTTTTACTTCACCAGGACATTTAACCAGTCAGTGACAAAAAAGACTGATGAAAAGACAAGCAGGGAGTTGTTTTTTAGCAGTTACGCAGAGAAAGAGGCAGAGAGAGAAAAAGCCTTATCATGTTACTTATAGCCTATATACCTTTTTCACGGCAGCCATGGGTAAACACAGGTGTTACTAATACCTAAGGTTCCATTCAGGTCAAACCGAGTCAGGGTGCTGTTATTGTGAAAGTCAGCACACTGCTTCTGGTTCTGCTATACCTGTGTTGGCCCTATTTAATGTCAAAATGGCTGCTGTGAAAAGGTCTTTTGGACTTAACATCAGGAACATCTGCAGTTCTTTGACCCCCTTTATGTGAGCTACCAACTGGGGTCAAGAGCTGTTAACCTCAACTGCTGTAAAACTCATGAAACATCAGAAGCACACGGTGTGTAAACCATCAAGTAATGAGGCACATAACACAAGTTAGAGGACATCAGGCTCACCCCCGGCTTCCCCTGCCTCCCCCTGCCTGCTTCTGAGATGACTGGGACAGGTGCTGCTTGGTGGACTGTCATTTTTACAACTTGTTCAACTGCCATGAGGCACAAACACAGCCTTGAATTGTTCCCATGAGAGAAACCCCCTTTATGTGATGTGTTATAAATATGCAGTTTGTATAACTACATATGAAAGTTTTTTTCAAGACAATTGCCACTTTTTAAACTATATCCTTTGGAAATTATTCTTTATAGCTCTGGTCCTTGGCTGCGTGGCTTTTAACGTGTGTGAAATAACAAGTGAACACCTGGCCGTCAGTTTGCTAAATTCAAATACAGAGCAGAAACTGAAAATCATTACTTCTGCATTTATGTGCGTGTTGCTTTGCAAAGACTCGGTTTCATCCTACTTTATGGACAGATTGACATCAACAGCTGTGGTTGTACCACCTGTATTACAATACAATCAGTGCAATAGCCCTGTTAATGTACTTTATTTATTTAATTTAATTTAATTATTTAAATTGAATTAATTCTTTTTTTGTTGATTGTGGTTGATTAAATTTTAAGTGAATAGTTTATTATGTTTGAACTGACTAATATGATTGCATTGTACAGTAAGGTATTCCGGTTTGGGGGTAACAAAATCTTTGGCACCATATTTGGCACCTTATATGATGCACAACTACATATGGCCACAAAAGTCATCTTAGGAGTGGAAATCCACACCTCGCTCACACTTTATCAAAACTGAAAACCTTCATATTTAAGTTCAAGTTAAAGTCCTGCATTCAAAACTGCATTTGTAAATGTACAATCAAAGGTAGGCTACATATTACTCTCTCTGAGTATTATAATATGATATAAGCCTGCCATATTATATGTGATGCATTGTTAATGTTTTAGCAGCTGGAGCTAATTTAAAGTGCCCGTTTACTTTGTAACCCTGTAACCAGTAACTAGCAGTCATATAGAGGAGCAGGTCAGCTGTGGTGCGTCAGCTCATCCTCGGCACGTGGAACGGAACGTTCTGTACTGAGATAACGCACGTGCCCGCTCCCTCCCACTGCTACAGCACACGCACGCGCCCGCACACTCTAAAACAACTTCATCTTTGACACAATCACCATATCATGTAAACACAACAACATGACCCAGATGCGCCTTACACTCTTGAACTTTAGTGAGAAGGGAAGCGGGGAGCCGCGACAGCAGCAGCCCCAGAAGCACCTCCTCTTCCCGGGAAATGTTTACAGCTCTGCTGAAGGAGGAGCTGGGGGAGGGGGCGGCAGGCTCTACGTGTCCCAGGCCAAGAAACTTTTTTTCAACCACATTTTTTTCCTGGAAACGTCGGGGGTTCTGCCGCCGAATCGAGTATAGCGCAGGGAGAGTTCCAGTACGGGACGATATGGGAAAAGGGCGAGAAGTTCCTGCAGTGTTTGCACTTACACCGCATCTGTTGTGCGCAAACAAGGACTTTGTGTTATTCCTCCTGCAAGTCTTCTTCTAAAAGCTTTCCTCCTGCACATTTAGTTTCTGGTATCGCATGAGCACTGGGCGTGTGAAATGAAGCAAACACGATCAATCTGCTTTGAGGCAGTGAGTCAGTGCAGGATGTAGCCTCAAGTGAGCAGCGTTTGTTTGCTGCTGTGTAGAGGGGAGGCACGGCACTCTTCTCTGCAATGTGAAATGTTAAGCGTTGTGACATTCCCACGGTTTAAAATATACACAAAACTGAAGTGTGGCCACGAAAGGTACATCATGATGAATCTTTACAGGGAAGCACAGAGGCATATGAGTCCTTGACTTTGCTTGGGTCACGTGCTGCAAAAGTGCAGGAAAACACCTCTGTATATGGGTGTCATTACTTTGTCTGAGTCACTGTATTCTCATATAAACAGCCCCAGCCCCCCAGAGAAGAACACCTATCCAAATTATGTCTACACAGTTCATGTTAGGAGACAGCCTTGCTCAAACCCAAACCCAGCAACCCCCAAAGCCGAATAGGATTTTCTAGGAACTTAACCCTTAAATGAACCACCCACTGCCCTTTTTTTCTCCTTTTTTAGCAGAGGGTTCTTGTTACACTGACTGGCTGCAGTATAGTCTCTCATGCAGAGTGTGTGTATACATAGGCTGTTAAACATGCAGTATTGTCTATCAGACACAAGATTAGCAGGTTCACTTCGCACTTATGATAATGTATTACAACTGCATCATAAGAGTTTATCTACAGTATCTATTTTCCATACAAGGGTGGATGTTATTATAGGCACACATTTGCTTCTTGCATTGAATGGACAGAGTGGTTATGGCTCCATGGCAACTCACTGTCTGCTTTAAATGAAGTAAGATTGTATTGATAAACATCACAGTGGGCAGACAGACCATCATACTATTTGCTGATCCAGACACCAGACTCCACTATAAAACCTTGAGAGAGTGCAGGAGTCCTCCAGGCTGGAAGTGTTGAGGCACAGAGGAATCAGAACTGCAGCCTTGTTGAAAGTAGTGGGAATACTGGCATGGTTGGATTAAGAAACACATTATGCTCTGATGGCTCATACATCACAAAATACAAAAAGAATGAGTCATTACAGATGAACTGTGTCAAAAATAGAAATCATATTCATGAAGATATTTTGTTGTGACATGTGACAAAAAGGCTGAAATTCCAAATATTTAAACCCTATGAAATGTTACCTACACATACCTGTAAACATGTTAGTTTTCAGTCACAAAAGCATAATACTGTCCACTAATTCAGCTTTCATAAACTACAATATTTATAAACCCCATAACCTTTCATGCATAATAGGTAGAGAAATCACCAGTATTTGTAATGCATATTTTTATAAAGTAATCTGTTGTCATCATGAAGTATCAACAAGACCTATCACAATGAGGATGCGAGTGTTATAATGTGTTATACAGGTATCTACAGTATGGATTTCTACACATTATGCAGAGAGTGCTAATAAAACGTCTTATTAATTATTTATATTTTAAACATTAAATTGCTGTGTGACTGTACTCAGACAACATCCCAAATAAAACTATTTTACAATATCTTTACAAAATGGAAATATAAGAATGGGGTCCAGTAAGATACCAGTTGATTGTTACAATGTGGTGATACCCACAAATATTACATTTCATTTTATGTACACATCTCAGATGTGTTTCTCTTGTTGGGTTTGCAAGACCTTGCAACTGACCTCATGCCGGTGTCAACTTGAATATGTGCACGAGGTCAGTGACACAAGTGAGTTTGCATTGGCAGGGAAGATTTCAAGTGTGGCTTTGAGGACTGTTGTGGACTGCGCTAATTTAGGATCAGACCATGGTTGTGAAACTGGGACACAAAGTGAGACATGTCCACAGCTAAAGCATTATGGGGCCACAGTGGCTGGGGCTGTTTTGCATCTAAGAAATCACAGCGCACATCTTTCTTTTCATCCCTGATGTGCCAGCTCTGGTTGGATGCAGCTGTTAATATGTGAATGTTACCCAGACATAATCTGTCAGATACTGTATCAGTCCTAAACCTTCAACACACAGGGATCACGTCTAAGAATTTAAAAGATAACCTTATACAATTGCTGCATAAAGTACACGGACTGGGTTAAGTAACAGCAGTATTATTGTATGGCTCAGGTTTGACCTTCACTGATTGATAACGGAAGAGCAAATAGTGTTGCAGCGGTGGGCGGGACAACCAGCTGCAACAGCGACCACTGGCTTCCACGGAAGCTTATCATCTAAACATACCAAGTAACAACACATCTTGTGGTGTCAGTGCTTGTGATTATAATGTTGCAACGCATCTGATCTAATGTAAATGGTGGCGGCTGTTTTCACGACTGCCCGAGCTGTACGTGAAGCGATCCTAAAGTCTGCTGTTGTTTTTCTCTTTGTTTCTCGGACACCGTGAATGTCCATGTCTTACAAGTCCTTGTCATTGCCTATGTTGGATCAAAATGAATGTAAATCCATGAATTCATCCCCCAGCAGGTTGCTTCACAAGTATGACAATAAAAGCATGTGTACTTATAATAAAGGCGTAGCAATAATCAGGTTGTTTTTTTGTTTTTTTGGCATGACGCAACAGTGTGGGTCTGGGGCCTTACCATGAGGAGTTTGTGTACCCCAGTTGTGGTGTTGCATTCAAGTGTCTCTGTGCAGCATTTCGTAACAATGAGCTGACTGGAGTTTCTACCGGTCAGTAAAGTTGCTATTGCAGAACGAATTGGAGAAAATGTGCGCAGTAAAAGAGGAAGCAATTGGGTTAAAACAAAGTAACTTCAACAAACAAAGACAGACAACTAAATTTAAACCAAAATAATCATCATCATTATTTTGTTATTGATGCTGCATACCTTCAATTAGCCCGTCAAATACACAAAATCAACTGTTCTTCAATTATAAATGTGAACGTGATTAAGCCTACTAATAGAAAAAAACAAATATATATATTCTATTTGTATTTTGCATTTACTTATTTCCACTTGTAAGTGCGCAGTGATTTTAGCTGAGACTTCAAAATCGATCTCGGACACTGCTTCCCATATTCCCCCGTCATGAGAAGTACCTGAAGGCAACATCAGTCTGGACCAGCCCTCTTCTCATCAATCTCTGTCTATGATTGATCCACCGTCCCGTCACTCACTCCTGTGAATAGGCAATTCCAAAAAACCGAGTCGTGTTTCCTCCCAGCCAATCGCAGCCCCGTTTTCTTATGACACCGTGGGATTCCGCGAAATTGTTTCTTGGAGTTGGGAGATGTGCTGCTGGCAGTAAAATAGGACAAGTTGACGCATGTGTGGGAGCGCAGTCAGCCAGCGCACAGAAAGGCGCAATACACGCAGACACAATAGATCAGTCAGTAAACGCTGTGCTTTATTGATCCGGCTGTTAGAAAAACGGATCCAGAGGGAGAAGGAGAGAGGAAGAGCCGGGAACGATTCAAACTGCTTTATTTCCTGTAGGGGTGTTTATTTATCCACCCTGCAACCTCAACAAGAAAACGCAGCCTTTGCGGAATAGTCACATTGAAGAAGACACGTGTGGGTGGTTAACCACATGTTTCCTGGGGGGACTGCGGTCTGATCAATTTATTTGATCTATTTTGTCGGATTGCTTTTGAGTATCTACTCTAGATTTCTATCCGGATCTGCTGTAGTGATGTCGGAGGTTGCCTCTGCAGACTGTGTCCCCAGCCGACCACCGGGTCGGACAGAGGACATGTTGAAAGAGAACCAAGAGAACAGGACTTTGCTGATGGTGGCAATGATTTTATTGGACTTGAACAAATGCAACTCCAGCGCTATCGGCGCCGGAGGCAGCAGATGTATCGGGGGCAGCGACGCCGGCGCGCAGGAGAAGGTGGAGCGGGGGAGTTGCCGGTTGAACGCCGGGGACAGCCGGGGCTCGGTGGCACCCAAACAGTCCAGGAACAAGAGGGCGGCGGCGAGGCGCGAGTGTCCCGAGAAGAGACACTGCTGTCCTTTTACGGGCTGTGGGAAGATGTACGGAAAGTCGTCCCACCTTAAAGCGCACTTGCGGGTCCACACCGGTAAGTGGAGGCTCGGCGGGAGGTTTGCGTGACACGGCGACGAAACTAATGGACTCAAATCTGATGACGACAGCGAAACCGGCTCTGCGTCACCGCTGCCATCATTCTTTATTTCAGACGCATGTTGACATCACTGTTATAACCACACCGGCTATTTCAGGAAAAGACGAGTGACAGTTTATAATGACTGTAGGAGAAAATAGCCCGCATACAATGATGTCATTATAAAGTCATGGTTGGAGACTGATAGGAATATATAGATGTTTAATGTTAAGGCCTGCGGTCCATGTTGTGTCTGTGTGCTCATGAGGAGTATAAGTGAGAGACCACGTTTCTACTAAATGAAGGTTATAGGAAAGGTGGTCCCGTCAACTAGCCCCCTTTTTTGGGGGGTGTGACTGACCGGGCCCTGAGAGGGGAGGGGAGGGCAGGGGGAGGCGTGTGTGAGATAAAGTTGGGGGGGGTGTATTTTAATGTGCGGTTGACACGCACCCAGTGAGCGCTGGGAACACCGCGTGCCACCGCCCATATTTGTGACGGACGGTGGATGGTTCAGGTCATCCGGGACCGATCATGAGACATAATGTTATCCAAACAACGCCTCAGACGATCAGGCTGTCCGTCTTGTTCATCGATGGTGATTTTACAGGAGATCTGTTTTTGTTGTTGTTGTGTGTTTACATGCATCGTGGTATAATAACAGAGCAGTTAATGTAGACATCTTGGCTTATAATTCACATGCAGGTCACTGCGACACCGTTGTCCCCACATGTACTTGTCCGGAGATAACCCTCCCTGCACCACTATTTCCTCATACGTCATCCTGCTCCACTCCCCTCGCGTCAGGTTGTAAACAAGGGCAGACATGTGGTCCAGTGGGGAGCACGTGTAGGATGAGGAAAGGGGGCAGCCATTCTTTTCTTTTTTTTTTTTTTTTATTCACTGGGCTCTTATGATGACTCACTTTTTCTAAATCAATATGTTCTCTTCCTAGAAAATGCTGTTTATGCAGGCCTTCCCAAAATTTGATTTGCCACAGACAAAACAAAAACACACCAAGACAATCTTTTTGTGACTCTTGTACTCTGTACTTCCCCCTCCCCCCCTCCTCTCACTTGATCCATTTTGTGTCTGTGTGTTCTTTTTTTATTTACTGCAAGCCCTCCTTTTAAGTGCAGAGAATTAAAAATGTGTTTTTTTAATCAAAATGTGATTTAGGATTAATTTAAAGGGAAGGTTAAAGAGTAGACGGGAGCTAACAATAGTGTTCTATTTGTGGTCCTGGAGACCCTGGGCTCTTTTAAAAAACATACTTAACATTGTTACCTTGATACTTTTGAATTGATGACATGACTCAGACAAAATAAGATATATATTATTAAGGTATTGTTAGTACCTTTTACACAGCACTATTCCTAATAAGTCTCCAAATTTCTGTTATTGAAATAGTTTGTCCATAAGAAGTCTTAACAGGGAGTTTGACCGCTGACCCCAAACTTTAGTTAAATCACTATGGAGCAGCAAATAAAATGAATATATTTATTAATACATAGAACACATAACATATTAAACATGAAATATTTCTTTTTTATTTCGAATAACAATGCTTTGTGGTCATTTATTATTATATTTTGCCACCTTAATCACATGTTGCATAGGGAGGAGCTACCACTTTATTACTTTTCTACATATTGGGTTTAAATGAGGTCAAATTGGGTCAGAAGAAAAGAAAAGGTGGCTGATTTTGTAATTATTATTATTATTGTCTTCCACATACAGCAGCTTGGGTCTATGGGTCCCCAAACAATGAAGCCAATAAAAAATGAGTAGTAATACAAAACTTGTGTGTGTGTGTTTCCTCAGGTGAGCGTCCCTTCGAGTGTACCTGGCCAGACTGTGGCAAGAAGTTCTCCCGCTCAGACGAGCTGACACGCCACTACCGCACACACACGGGCGAGAAGCGCTTCAATTGCCCAATGTGTGACAAGTGCTTCATGAGGAGCGACCACCTGACTAAACATGCCCGGCGACACGCAGGCTTCCAACCCAGCATGCTCCAGGGCTCCAGTGCAGCTAAGAGGCGCCGCTGCTCCGTGTCTTTGTCCTCCTCTGACTCAGGAGACCAAAGCCCTGCTGGGGTGTGAGCCACACCCACATACTGTACATAAAGGTACATGCAGTAGATACAAAAGGCATACGCACACATAGACACACCCCTCATGTGTCCCATCAAGATAGACACCTCAACCAGCCAGACCATATTTAAAGAGTTTTTTTTCTACACATGTAACATTGTGCCACAGCAAACAGAAACAGAACCTGACAGTAACCAAACTGGAGCTTCCCCTTCTTCTACCCTGAGGTAATATGGTATTTATTGAGGCTTATTCAGGGTCGGCTTCTAGTTGCGTTGCCATTTGTAATTTTTTTGCTTTGTGTTGTATGAGGTTTTTTTTTCTTTCCTGGAACAATCTGTAATCCAAGAAGCATTCATGTACAAATACAGTTTCCATAAACACTACACGTGTTTACTTTGCATCACAGATTTCATTTGCTGTTGAAGACAAGAAAATAAATCATGACTGAGCTATTTCTAGTGGGTTAAGAAGTTTTGGGAATAATAGTCCTTAAGTAAATATTATTGTTGCACACATACACTCATACTTGTACAGTTACTCTCCAGTCCAGAACAAGGTGAATGTACAATAGCAGTATTATTATGTAAATAGACTAAACAGACTACTTTTCAGATGAATATTATACTCAGTAGTTAGGTGTTATTAGAGAGTAATAAGACAAAGCTATAATATAGAGAATTACAGAGCTCTTTCATACATTTGACTATGGACTTAGTAAATCAGGTACACTATGAGCTTGTAGGTTTAGTCAGCGTGTTGGAACATAAATGTTGTCACATCATGATAAACTTGCAAATATTTGCACCAAAATACCTTTAGAGTCCTTTGGCAAGATAATACATGAGCAAACCTCATGGGAAAGTATAACACAAAACATAACAGGGTAAAGCCTTTAAAGGGTAAAGTTAGAGACTTTACTTTTTCCCTTGCAGTTGAAACACTTTTCCGTGTAATGGCAAATACTGACTAATGTTCAGTTAAAGTGCGTAAACTGTAAACAAGGAGGTCTGTGCCTTTTCAAGGGTTTTGTAGCAGAGGAATTTCTACATTTTCAACCTTTGGAAATACTACCTAAATGAACATTGTCAGATTCCTTATGTTGATATTCAACAATACTTTGAATATCAATGACTATCTCTTATGCCAACAGTGCCAGTTGCTGTACATTGAAACTAACTTTTGTTTACTCTGTATCTGGACTGCATTTTGTCAGGGAATAATGTGATGCATGGTCATTTCAATCAATGCTACACCCCCTAGTGGTGATGTGGAAGCACATTTCTCACAACAGAAAGTCATAAAACCTTTTTTAGTTTTCTGTCCTAGCATTTTGAAGCATGCTGTTGATTAGTTTGTTTTTGAATCAAAGAATTACATCATGTAGCATGTTTGTATGTATTTGTTTGGTACAATGTATTTTTTAATTGTCTGGTAATCTTTTATAATATTACTAATGGGATGAGAGGTCTTCTTTGTCCACTACAAGAGCCAGAAACATTGATGATGTCATTTGTTTTCTTTTTATACTTGCCACTTAATACATTATAACGTCCAGATAGAGTGTAAAGTTAGATGTAGTTAACCTTGTAGGACATACAACTACATATATTTGTAAAGTGAAAAATGCTGTTTTTCTTTTCTGGCATTATGACAACTGTGATTAGATGTTGGTGCCTTTCAGGTTGATGCCCTTACTTCTGATGCTACTGTACTGTAATCAGGGACTGTCTATGCAGACCCCATGTTATCGCAATATACATAGCTGTGTAATAATTACTGCTCAAAAGTTTTAACATTAAAATTATTTTTCTTTCTAAACATTTGCTCATTATTTCTGCCCCACATCACACAACCATATCAGACACACAGCTTTTATAAATATAGAGGTACAAGGTGCAACTATAAAATAAGTCCAGTAGAACAGGGAGCTCTCCATTAGCTTGGTGTTTATTTATTGTTTTCATACACTGCACATAACAATAATATTGTTAAATACTGTAATGGAAGTGTTTACATTACAAGAAAATTATTTAAAAAAGGAAAACCAAAGAAAAACAATTATCACCCGTGTCTAAATGTAAAAAAAAAAAAAAGCAGAACTTCATAAACAGCAAATGCTCTGCAAATGAACTAAATTATCAGGATGGCAATAAATACACACAGTTTTTTTTTTAAACTTCTCTGAACTTAAGGCATACTCTAATTGCAAATAATCAACTGATTCAAGGGAGGGAAAGAGTCATAAATGAAGGATATTAGTGCTCCAAGTCAACCATCCTTGATGTTGTGATTACAAAACAATTTCCAACCATTAGTCAAAAGTGACAAGTAGATGCCATCTCACACTCTTTATGTTGGCACTGTATGTTTGTATGCAGGCAAATGCATGTGAGTACGCGTGTGAATCTTTCTGGTGTCCCTTGATGATCTGTGGTGTAAAAACAGAAATGGAAAGGAAGGAGTGTCCAGTGATCATTAGGCTGTGACACTGAGACTGTAGAAGTGCTGAAAAGTCGATCTAAAGCCCCCCCCCCCACCCCCCCCCACCCCACTGTCCCTTTGGCCTTGATAATATGTGAATCACGTGAGCATCATGTGTTCAGGTCAGTGCAATGATATGTAATCTTCCCTTTTGACACAGTTCATTTCAGATAAGACACTGTCACTGCTATGCAGGAAAGAGTACACAGCTATGGGCCCAAAAACAAAAACAGTAAATGTGCAAATTCAAAACAATACAAGTCAAGCTAGTGTCACAACGGTAGCATGTGACTGCACAATAGAAATGGGGGAAAAATCAAATGTGCAACAAGCTACTTATTATTTCAATTAAATTGTTTAGTCCAGTGCTCTTCGTGCTGTTTGTTCCTCAGCCATTCATGTTCTTACATTCCTCCCCTAAGTGTTGAAGGTGGTATGGATGAATGCAACGACCTGGCCTGTGCTACATAACAACCCTGTACAGTACAATGAATACCAGATATCTTCTATTTTGGGTACCAAGACCGCAGTCCACGCTTCTAAAATATCTCCACTTCAACACATACAATCATACAGATCCCTTGGGTTTAAAAAAAGTAAGCATTTAAATAAAAACTAAAAATAACAAAGTAGAAAAATGCAAAAATGCAACCCAGAATTCAGGAAAGCAGAACAGTTGAGTTAGCAGTTATGATAATGTTTCTTATTCTTCAGGGAAATGGAAATCACTTTACAGCATCAATTGGCCTTTTGTTTTCTGTCTACTAACATCAGTGTGTTTTGTTACATCATGTTCACCAGGAGAAGGGCTTTCAAACACAAGTGCATGTCCTACCATAGGAGGAAACCACCACTTTTACTCATATTTTAAATACATATTCAATATCTTCATATGTGTTCCTTCTCCTAGATCTTAAACCAAACTTTCTACATGTTAATTTGATTATTTTCTCATTGTCATTATCATCATAGCACTTAACTGTCATTACAATACTCTACCAATGCTTCACTTTCGCCATTCTGGCGGGCGAAGTAAACACGCAGCAGATGAAGATTGGGGGTTATATTGTGTGGAGAAGGGAAGGGGCAGAAGGTCAGGGGGGCGGGGTTACTGTATTTGACAGGTGGTGGAGGAGGTTGCCTGGCAGCACATGCAGGTAGGGTTGACTGATTTGGGAGGGATCAGATCCAGGTCCTCGTCGTCCGGGATCTCGTCTAGGCGGTAACCATCTTTCAGTAGCTGTATGTTCAGGTCCTGATTGATTTGCTGGAGATGAGAGGATAGACAAAGGAGGGTTGGTTTGAGCAGTTGAGCAACCTTTAAGGGCTGCGGAACGGCACCAGGCTGCAGAGCATTTGCTACCTGTTACTGTTACTACTTTAAACTAAAGGAGGTCATCAGTATGTAGTATCGGTCCATCATTAGCTACTCAATCTGACTGCGGTGTGTAGAGTTCTAGGGCTATAAAAGCTGTCCCATGTGTTCATTTGCTCTTTCCTCCTACAGCTGGCATCCACTCTGCATCTTTGTCTTGTTTTATGATTTGTGTTAATCTTATTTTAATAAATTAACCTGTTATAAACAATTATATTGTGTGGACTCCCTACTTGTCACATTCCCTGAGCTAGTTTGTGACAATATCAATGTCTTCACCATAAATTTGAAGCTACAGCCAGCAGCTTGGTAAGCTGCCTGGCTCTGTCCAAAGGAACAAAATCTGCCTACCAGCACCTCTAAAACTCTTGGTTGCTCAATCTGTACAAAAACAGAAGTGCATTAATGACAGTTTGCTGTTTTACAGGGCTTTTGTGCCAACAAACACATCTTTCTACTGACTTTATCAGATTAAGACAATCCGCAACTTACAAATGTCATGTTTTTTTGAGCTTGTGACTCAGACTGGGTAAAATGTACAATGGTAACCATGGCAAACTGAGTTACGACTCTTTCCCAGATGGCTGTAAGGATCATCACTTGGAGCTTTGTCATGAACGTGATGACTACTGCCCTGGTGAGATTTATTTTAGCAAAAAAAAAACCTTTGTTTGCCTGTAAAACAAACAATGTCTTCATTAAAAATCACAGGATTTACCTTTTTATGTATTAACTGTCTATCCTACTGTAGATAAACTAAATACTATATTGATGCATAAACCACAACCACAATTCCCTACTTTGTCAAGCTACAGTACAAACATACTGTTGCCATGGTGTATTGCTTGCTCACAGCTTGCTGTTGTTAGCTAGTACCAAGAAAGAGGAGACAATGGCTAAACTGGGTTACAATATCTACTGTATATTAGCTAATTATTTCTGACAACATGGTGGAATAATATCCACATCTATCTACAAACCTGGCCTGACAGAAAACAGATGTAAAGGTGTAAAGGATTTGTCTGGGGAATAAATATGATGATGTGTCTGTGATTTGCACTTATATTGGCAGCAGCATTGAAAACAGGATTTTCAAGAGCAGACACCCAGAGATGACATTCCATTAGTTTGGGTCTCATACACATTTGTGTGCAGGTGCGTCTGCAATGTAATCATGCACTTGTAGTGAGCACGTACACCTACAGAATTAGCATGGATGAGTAGGATGGATATAAATGGATTTGCTTTAGGACTGGCCTATAAAGACCTGACTGTTGGCCTCTTGATGCAGATATTTGCTCTATCAGATTTCTTACCTCAGCAGAGGAGTATCCCGACGATGAGTATCTAGACATGTCAAAATCATCATCACTGAAACAAACAAGAAAAAGCACAAGTTAGCTTATTATTTGTGTGTTTATGGTGTTTATATGGCAAGAAGATTATTAATGTGTGTGTTTGTGTTCACCTGTCTGTGTCTAGGGCCACCAAGGGCTTCTCATCTGGGCTCTGGTCTAAAGAGGAATAGCCTTTATTGGGCACTACCAACCTGTGGGGAGAGAGAGAGAAGACAGAGGCGAAATATTCAGAGGAGCAGAAAAAGGTTGTAACAGAACATGACAGGAAGGGGAGAGGATGAGGTGGAGGAGGGAAAATAGATTCAAAGAAACAGGTGAGTAAGAACAAGACTGGCAGAGATGCTAAAAGAAAAGGAAGTTAGGCCTGAAGGCAGCATCGCAGCCAAACTACAGTAACAACAGAAGCGTGAAAGAGGTCTAATTTCTGACTCGGACATCTTACAAACCCTGAATCAATAAAACTATTCTCTTGCCAGCCCTGCTGACAGACAGAGATAACGACATGAGAATAAAATCCATCTTGCCAAGCCCTTAAAACACGTTTCTGATCTTAGACATAAAATCAGCATACAGTACTTCAGATACGCTGAACAGAGTTATTGTAGAATTTGTATTGAAGATACTGTGTGTGATACAACTGCTGAAATTAAAATAGACTTGATTTGAAGACTTGAAGTTATAATGTTTTGTGGCTTTTGCATACTGTTACTCAAATTACATCATCACGTACTCTACTGCAGGGATACTCAACTTGTTTTGCCCAAGGGCCCCTTTTAAAAAATGTGGGGCCGGTTAATAAACAAACATTAATAATATGTTTCAGATAAAATTAATAAATATTAAGATTGTTGATGTGGCAGAATAAGATGACTACAAAGTCGTAGTCTTCACTTTTCTGCTTCCAGGTGGGAACGCTGAAGCTAGCATGTCTTGACTCGTGTGGCACCTGATATTAGCAACCTTGCATACAGAAATTGCCATTAAGCCAATTAAACGCATAGTGTGGGTATGAGGTGGCAAAAGAAAGGCAAATCAGTCATTAAGTTGCTTGTTTTCATTGTCAACCTTTCGACATTTGCTGTCCTCAGTTATCTTTGCTAAAAGGATAATCCAGTCGCTGCAACCCGGTGTGGTCAGGTGTACATGACCTTTTCTCAGAAATCAAGTGTCAACTTTTCAAGAGTGGGGATTCTTTCTGTATGTTTTATATTGTCATATGGATGCCAGGAAGAGCAGCTAAAGGGGTTTCAAATAAAACAATAAACAAATTGCTGATATGCAACTTTACAAGTAACAGCAAAGACACATTGTTGAACATTTACTAACTGGCATAAACAAGCAAAAAATAATTCCAGTGAGAATCAGTTTATTTTCATTGTGAGTAGAAAACCCTATCCTGTGGGCCTTACTTTGAGTATCACTACAGTCTACAGTATTTCTACATTAAATCAAGTACAGAGTTAGAAAACAACTTCATTTTTATCCTTCTTTGGTAAAATTAGCCTGTGTGTGTTCTGCTGTCAGTAGTTAATCAAACCAGTGTTATACAACACACAAATAAGGACTTAAATTGAGTTCATCACTAAAACAAAAGACATTTTAACTACTGTATCTATCAGAAAGTCAACAGCAACTAACAGAAGACCACAGCATTAATTTCTTACCGTGTTCTGGCCATGACATTGTTCTTCTTGGGCTGCTGGTTGACTGGACTTCCTACAGTGTTGCCGTTCTTCAATGAGCCCTTCCTAGCCAGCTCTCTCTGTTTCTCTGCTCAAGAAACACACACACACACACACACACACACACACACACACACACACACACAAAGTTAGCTCTGATTGACACACAAACGGCACAAAAAGTGATAAACTGGACCTCATGTCAGTATCATCTGCTTGTACGACTTCAATTGAATGATACAATTTACTTATTATAAGATTCCTGAATACACCAGGGAACATTTGTATTTTCTTTTTTGCTGATATAAGGCATGGGATTGCTGACAACTTTCTGTTACGTGTCATTTTGTCACACTGGATTGAAACATCTCAAACTGTCAGATTTTTTTTTTCTAACAAGAAGAATCAGTATAATTTAAACACTCACACATTCATCAGCAAGTGTGATAATCAGGCAAGGGAACTGGGTTGTATTTCACTTGAAATCAATTTTCACTTTAAGAAGACTGTGACATTTTCTCTTTCTGAACATAATAGCAAACTATTAGGTTTGCACAGTAAAAGATGAGACATCAGGGGAGATCAGTTCCTGTTGGAGGGACTTACCAGAAAGTGATGATCACTCCTGACCACTACAGTACAAAGACTTCTCACTGATCAAATAACAAATGACTAAACTAATGGTATTAGCGTAGGCTGAGCTAGATTAACTAAAGTATAATATATTAGTGAAAGAAAACGTTTTCATACTGAGCCACCAGTTAATGGCATTACATTTTTAGTCCAGAAAAGAGTTTTAAAAGGTCACCAAATGCAAATTAGAGCCTATCTATCTCAAGGTCACAGAGGGAAAGTGACAAGTGTAACAAGCATTGCATAATTAAAGGAACAAGCTGAGACTGTATTGTATAGAGAGGAAAATTTATGACAGTTTACATGTTATAAAAAAGACTCCAGTGAGATTAAACAGTGTATCATAAAATACAACTGTAGCCATCATTGTGGTAACTCATTTACACATGCAGGATGCATGTAGAATGAAATGAATTTAAAAATAACCTTTTCCATGCATTTCTGTCACTGAATAGTTACTCCTTTTGAATATTCTTAGTGCCTAAAGGCTTTGGCTAGGAAAGCATTACAGTAGGAGTAAAAAAATAAAGAGGCACTGCTGCTCACCAGTGGACTCTGTCCAAGGTGCTGAAATGACTCTTTAAGGATTGTGGCTTTTCAAAAACACAAGAGACTCAAATTCCTAAACATAAAACAAGCCAGAGTGGCGAAAACCTTTTGCCATAAAATGGATTAGAGCTGAAACAATCAGACTACTAATAGATTATCTTATTAAAAAGTAACAACTTTGGCAACAACTTTGATAACTGATTTATTGTTTAAGTTACTTTTTAAGGATTTATTGTTTGTTTGTTTTATATGGGTGTTAATTTAATCCTTTTTGGAGTATGGAGAAAAAAAAGCAATTTGAAGGCATCACCTTGGTCTCTGTAAACATATGGCAGATCCATTAATAAATAATCCTTAGTTGCGATCCTAAAATTAGCTATTATGGTTCTTTTTACTAATAGTTTAGCAGCATAACAAGGTTTAATTAAAACAACATATCACTGCAGTCTTGGTTTGTCTTGTAATAGAAAGGTTCTCTGAAAACTGATCCTGTCACTGCTTAGATATAGTCACACCAAATTAAATGCCCCAAAACATTCACACACTCTGTATATAGTTTCCTCTAATACCTCAGGCCTTGTCTAAAGATTATGCTACATTTACACGTAACAGTAAGTAACAGGATTACCAGATGTGGCCTACAAATACTGCAGCTCTTACTCACCTATTTTCATCTGCAGGGGTGAGGGCTTGTAGTTGATAGTGACTGGTTCCCCCTCTCTGGTGTCTGAGTCTGCCTCTGAGGTGGTGGACGAAGCCGGGTCCTGGAGACAAACAAGAAGACAGGACAATGTGGACAGAAAGATGAGCATTGAATTGTGCATTACTGAGGGATTGATGAATAATTAATGTATTTTTGTAATGCACAAAAGACCCTACTATGCCGAGACAATGTGAACAAAACAATTCATATATGAAACATTCATGCAGGAAGAGTCCTTCTCTATTTAGTGAGCGCCAGTTTATTAGGAATAACTTGTTTTAAAAATATTTTTTTAAACCTAGATACACATAGTTCTGGATACCATAAACCTTTTTTAGGCAGACAAGATTTTGTCATAGGTGCCTCTAATAATAAGGTAGAGATTGAAACTGTGAATGAAAACAGCATTTGAACACATTTTAAGTGAATGCAAAATATTGAACTTAGAGTGATCTTTATTTTCTTTAGGTTACTCTGAGACCCTTTGGAGGACTCTTGGAAGTCCCGACATCCCAGTTTGGGAAATATTGTTAAATTCACATCTTATATCCACAGGGCAAAGGTAAGGAGGAAAAAAATAGTCTGCCACATGAGGCACGGGAATGAATGAAGGTCTGGGGACGCCTGGAGACAGTAGGTCAGACTGCTTTGGGTCTAGTCAGTCTCTCTAGCGGCCCCAGTCGTGGGCAGCAGAGGCCGCCCTGCAGGCTGCAGTAACCCAGAGCCCCGCTACAGGCCACGGAGCGCACCACCAAACCATTTACACAGATTTTTTTTATTTTATTAAAAGATAGCGGTTTAACGGGTACATACAAACACACATTTGCCACGAAAGGCCGCTCACTGGTCACGACGAGGCGACACAAGTGGCGTCGAAGCCGGAGCAACTTGCTGCATGGATGCTGAGGATGTAGCAGCAGTGTTGGGATGGGATGCTTGTTTTCGCCAGACATGACGGATGCTGCTCACTACGCAGCAGACCGGACGCCGCTTGCATTACACAACAAAAAACGCCAGTCTGTGAGCAAATCCATTAACCTCTGACATGTTACTCTTAGTCCGTTTAACATTTTACTGTAGCCGAAAAAACTTACTGAAAACGCTCTATTGGTACATCAGCCGATATTACGCATGGCAGGTGATGGATTTGTCGGGATCCCGAAGCACAACATCATGAATGGCAGGCCTCACACACTGAGCATCCTGGAGTTATAGTAATGTCATTTTGAATAAGAAAACAGGACCCAAAACACTGATTGATCATCTCAAATCTGACTTACCAGCGGCTGCATCTCAGCCTGCATCTCCGCCTCCTGCACGGCACTCGGCACTTGAAATCTATCTATTTCTTCCATCATTTTGGCAACGCGCCTCTTTCCTCCCTTCTCCTGGAAACTAACTGTTGGTAACCGGTCGTTTCGACGAGTTATCGCCGAGATTGTGGGTGATCTCAGATTTGTAACAATCTCTGTAGTTCTCCGGTGGCGAGCTTCATCCCAGCAGGCAGTATGTCGACGGTGGTGTGACCAGTTGGGTGACGGTGACTCCACCACCCACTTCCGGGTAGGGTATCCCAAGATAGGGTTCGGGGACCAGAAGGGGCCTTTTGAAGAGGACCAAGGTGGCCCCCACCAAAGGGCGTAATGGATTAATGAGAAGATATGACATGTGAGAATCACTATGATATCAGTATGACTATTTATGTTTGTGGTAATTTGTTGAACTCCTCCATTTTGTTTTCGCTCATGCTCCTCTGGAGTTTCTGATCAAATCAAATGAATCAACGATGCCAGAGGATCAGACAGCATCTCCATTTTTACATCCTCAAAAAACAAAATAAACAAAATCAATTAAATGCATTGTTAAATGTTTTTGATTGCAGTTGAAACCTTGTGGACCAGTTAATGCTCAAGACATTCCTTTATTACAAAAAATACTAGAAAGACCAGAGGCAGTCCACTTCATAAACCCATCATCCGTAAAGTCAATTAAGAGTTGTCTTCAACCAGAAATTTAAATTAAAACGAAATAAATGAATCAATCAAATGAACAGCCTGGACCCAATTCATTGTAGCACCATCAATTAATTGATCGGGCACAAAACTTTAATGAAAAACCACAGTAATATTTGTTGAAGTATATTATTGAGACTGAATATCTTTGGTTTCCTGCTGAACAGTAAAAATCACTAGTTAATTAAATATGATGTATTGTTGTAGATAAAACTACCCAACAAGCAACTCAAAAAGCTACAAGTTTACAATGATGCTTCCATGTACATAAACAATAATATTTCAATAATATGGTATATGTAATAATAAAGCACTTTAAACTGTGCCATTGTGCGTTATGTACATTTCAACACTTCTGTAGTTTTACATTATTACATTTTTAATGTAGGTTATACGTTTTTACTAATGTAGAGAGTCTCAGGCTTCTTCCACCACTGGCTAAAACTCGTGCTGGGACATATAAGTGGGTTTTAAAAGAAAAACATACTAAATAAACACAACAAAAACAGAGAGTATGAATGTTTAAATCCACATCTGTGACCTTGTAACCGAAACCTTTAAATGATCTGAACTGGAACAACAACAGGTACTCCTTACAACATACAGTACATAACTACATTTACTCAAGTGTTGTACTTGGTTATTTTATGTAAAACAAAACATGACCAGCCTTACCTCGACCAGCTACAACATTAAAATGCTAATAAAATAATGATGACAGGAGCTATCATCATTACAGGGTACTTTTACATGTGATACTTTAAGTGCATTTTACTGACAACATTCATGTACTTTTACTCAAGTAAGATGTAGGACTTTTGCGTTTAACATGAAGTATTTTTAAACTTTAATTTAACTGAAGGATCTGAATATTTCTCCCAATAACTACAGGAAGTACTGCCTGGAAAAAAACCTCAGAGTTGATCTGGTGCCCCTCTGAATGTTTCAACAAAAAAACATCATGAACTTCACAAAAATAGGGTTTATTGCAGGAGTATTGCATTATTCTGTCCATTCGCTGTATGTACCCATAAGGATTCCACCTCAGGCAACAATGACCAGCTATCATTATAGTTCTGTGAATTAATTATAAAACTAATTAAACCTTCTGATTTAAATAACAGTTTTGTACATTATGCCTCTAACTATTATGGGATGAGCATACATTTTGGCAATACGAATTGCTTTAAACTTTAAACAAACACTGATTTAAAATTAAATTAAAAAAATACAAAATCTAATTACCATCAAGGAGTTCATTATTTATTTTTGAGAAAATAGTTAGCCCTGGCTAATGATAGAAGAACATCCATGACGTTGTGACTCCTTTTCACTGAAAGTCACTGACGTGTCTGACTGCACATTGTCCTTACCTGGAAATACCAGCAGAGAGCAGCAATAGCATGCTCTGCTGCACAATAATGTAGAGGGGTCTTGGCAGACACCAGCTACTGCTGCAGCCAACAGTTTATTTAAGGTAGCACACATTAAAGCTTGAGCCAGCAGGTGGCAGTCTGATTCTACAGGAGAGGAGGGACACAGGCTGGATGGAGGATGAATGACAATGAGATGTGTGCAGGGTCAAGTAGGTCATCCTGTTTTAGTCTGCTAAATGCAAACGGTTTGAGTTTCATACTTCTGCTCATGCATATGCATTAGATATGACTAATATCTGGAGGTCGTCTTTTTATAGTTGGGGAAAGTAAAGCACTGGTCTTTTGTGAAGCACTGGAATTTTGTGAAAAAAATTACTAATTAAAGAAACTCATTGTGTCTCTAGTTTTTCATATATCTCACACACACTAACTATGTTTCATTGTTTGTTCCTTCTGTGTCATGCATACTTTGTGTTTCCTGTCACCATCATTATCAGAGCTTGTTTCATGCTATAATTGGACCTCTGTTGACATAATAAACATTCATCCTGACTAAATTATGCTGTATATAATTATTTCAATATCAGAGCTGCACTGTTGTTAAAATCCATGTAATGGCTGTCTGTGTGAGTGTAATTGGGATGAGTTTTTGTGACTCTATAGGGGGCCTGTTACGAAGAACTTATTAAGTGTGATTAGAATTTTTTCATGAATTATTCATACATAAGGACAGTAAGATATAACACAAACGTGCACATTCCATTCACACTGCACAGTACTCATCATACTGCATGAATACATACTTAACCTCAACAACCTCAAAGCAACAGTTATGTGTAAAGATTCAATCTTGATCTCTCTCTGTTTCACACACACACACACACACACACACACACACACACACACACACACACACACACACACACACACACACACACACGGAATACTTTAAAATTTATTGTGAAGTCACTAAAGCAAATTACAGATTACATAAAATTCTAATATTTGTAGTAGTGACATGTAGTGTCCAAAACATAGATTAACATTTGATCCCTTTGTAATTGCGTTACAACACACACACACACACACACACACACACACACACACACACACACACATGGCCATGACTCAGTCTGGGCTGATGTGGGTTATGCAACCCCTCCAGCGGTGCAGATGGAGCTGCAGATTACTGGCCCCTCATATGTTTATTAGTAATCTCTCTGTTTGTAATATTTGTCCTGATCCTTATATAACACAATATTGAATTCAGGGCCCCTCTTCCATCTCAACTACTATTGGAAGACCAGGGGAATTTCTTTGCTGCTGTATAATGCATTCCCTGAGATGGAAGGATGGGGTGACTGCAGAGTTCAGTAGCCAGCACTCTAATCTTAACTGGATGAACTCAAATCTGAAATGGAGAGATCAATGGAAGTGTGATTGGCAGGAGAACAGATAAATGATGGATGCTTATTCAGTGTTTTCTTTCATCTGTACACACACAGGGTCGATTAATGAACTCATTCAGCGGTCTTGAATAGAAGATCTGACTGGAAAACAGGAGGTCAGTGCAATGGTTCAAAAACTGCGTGAGTCAGAACATACTGACTTTCACATCCAAACAGCTCACTGTGGAGTAGATCACTGGATGTGGGCTGGCCAGTTTGCATGAGTCTGGCACTGGTCTGGTTAGATGGGAATAGGGAAACAAATAAGAGGAAGACAGCCAAAGAGAGAGAGAGTGAGAGGGAGACTGGCAGGCAGATAAATAGAAGGGAAGCAGATAAACACTAGACAGCTGTAGAGCCGCCTTTCTGACGATCAGTTTGAAATCAACAGCCCACCAAAGGCCCCAACCATCTGTCTCATACGTGCTATAAAGCACTGTTTTACACATGTGCGTGTATTCATACTCACAGTTTTTGTCACACACACTCTATTGTAAACAAATAACATAAACAGTTCGTTATCTCATCTCATGAGATCTGTATTCAAATACTTTACATAAATAAGAGTACACCAGATTACAAATATGACATTACAAGTAAAAATACCTGCATTAAAAATGTTACTGAAGTAATAGTATGCACATATTGTAAGTATCAAGTAAGTACTCAGTATGCAAGCAGAATGGCCCCTTGTTCTTCTAATACTATGATGATTAATAATAAGATTATTACATAACAAATGATTACTGATGTTTAAGCACTGTTTTAATGTAACTGGAAGTACTCTTATGTCCTTTATATACAGTTGGGTAGTTTAATGCACCACAGTGTATTGTATTTTAAGAGCTAATCTTATAAGTCATCTGTAAGGCAACTAGTAACTATGGCTGTCAAATAAATTCTTCTGAAATGTAGTGGAGTGGAAGTACAAATAGGATAAAATGTCTAAAACCTGCACTTATTATAAGCAGCACTTGAGTAAAGGCACATAGTTACTCCACCACTGCCTTTATGTGTGCTAAAGACAGAGAAATAATGACTGAAACCACTCAAAGACAAACATCCACAGAAGTTAACACTCAATAGTTCCCTGTGGATCATGGTTACCAGATATAGTTGTGACTAACAACAGGATGTGGGGCGCTGTTGACATCAATATGTTCCACACTGATAGCTACAGTGCAGGATGCTGAAGCCAGTTGGTAATTTAATTCTAATGTTTAAAGAAATAGGAGACGCTAGTACACATCGAAGAGGCATGGCAATATTGATTGTGGACCACGTTAGTTATACATCAGAGTAAATCATTTTATTGTATCAGAAAGTCATTAGCAGCACAAGGTATAGAGTCAAGTTATTCAGTTTACAATGATATGAAAGAAAAAGTTCACACATAAGCTGCAACTTAATTGTGATTTAAATTATTTATCAAATCCCAAATATGTCTTAAACAACTAATCATTTCACCACAAATTGCTGTTCATGATTGCATGTGAGTAATATATCCCACAAAACAGAACATGCTGCATAGAAAATCAAAGCAGCATATCATTTTTTAAACATCTTTTTGGACCAATTACCTCAGATAAAACTTCAACTGATGTTTCTCAAACACAAAATAAATCACATTTCTGTTAAGAGCCCTTTGTATCACTATACAAGACAAAAATAT